TCTACATTCTAAGTTTACGCATGCCTCTGTTCAAATTTCAAGTCTCCTGCAACTCTTCGTACCATTTTACTGTCATCCCTTTTCTGTTTTACTGAATCATATCCACTTCTTTACATGGATTCAGCTGCCTATGACATCTTCAGCTAAAGTTGCAAACTTGTAGAGTTTGCTGAAAAACTAGTCATAAGGAAATGTAAAACTGCTATAGTTTTAATCTCCGAAAGTGTGGGCTTTCGTGCTACCAACTAATGGCAGAACTCATACCTTTAGACCAGCGGTCCTCAAACTAAGGCCCGAGGACCGGATACGGCCCTCCAAGGTCATTTACCCGGCCCTCCAAGGTCAACCTACGTCTGAAACTACTTGAAAGCACATAACAACAGCCAAAACCAGGTCCATACATCCCATTGAAATACGAATGTTTATATTTGTTTAAATTGTTCTTCAATTTAATTATTTTATTGTTTTAAAGTGTTTCTTGCACTACAAATAAGCTATGTGCAATGTGCATAGGAATTAATTTGTGCTTTTTCTCAAATTATAACCCGGCCCTCCAACAGTTTGAAGGACTGTGACCTGGCCTTCTGTTTAAAATTTTTGAGGACCCCTTCTTTAGACTATTATGAAATTATTGCTTCAAAGGAAAATGGGTTCAATTGTTTGCCAAGGCTGTATGTCTTAACATCCAAATGGCTGAATCTACTCTGGATTTCAGAGGTGGAGTAGTGATTAGGAATGGACTCTGGAAAATTCTAGTCAAACCAGTAGCTTTGATACTGATTCACATGTGAAGATATGAGACATCACAAAGTAAGAGGAAGAACACGAAGAAAAAACGGAAGGGTAATAATTTGTGAGTGTGAGTTGCACTTTTAAAATTTAAAACCACATTTCCTGCTCTTTCCTTTTTGTTTCATGAATGTTTCCGACTTTTTCAAACTGGAGGAAAGGCAAATTGAAAAATATACAAGCCAACATGTTATGTAAATGAATTTGTGGCACTCATAAAATGTTTTGCTTTCCACTCAGAATAAATGGAACACTGCACTGTGGGTCAAAGTGTATGGTCTTGTTTAATACATGGGATTTGGAAAACAATGGATTTGGTGAACAGAGTCTAATGTACACCACAGACAATTTTAATTCGGATTCACTTAATTTGTGTGATGAACAAAACACGAACTTTTCACAGATTATGTGGGTTACAACAGGACACTGAAAAGGAATGCCAACACTGTGCTTATACTGTACATGACTACTGATTACCAAAAAACCCTCAACAGAGGGAAAGGGAAAAAGAGTGTGCAATGACTTTGGGAACACTGTGATTGGTTATACTTTAGAGCTGCTGATTGTTTTCTGAAACACCTTTGCTGTTTATCAGGCAGAATGTCCTGCACCAAGTGCAATTTGAGTCCACTTTGCACAGAATGGAATGAAGATGGGAGTTTGCAGGAAAAGCATCTAGATGAAAACTCAAGCTGGAACAACACAGCACTTTGCTTTGGGAGGGCCAGTGGAGTGGGAAAGGTTTCATTCACCTGCAAACATAACAGGACTTTGGACTTTTAAAGAAAACAACTGGGGAAAAAATATGGATGAGTGCGTGCTTTTGTGAGTACTTTCCTCAATACCACACATGGAATGTGCACCAATCAGATCAACAGAAAGGGGCAGAGTTCTGCTTCATTGTAATGCTTACTGACTTAACAGCCTTTTTTGTCTGTGGCAGGGAAAAATAAAGGAACAAGGCACACAATGAATTATTCAATAAAAGAGATTACTTACCAACCCAACCCCTGCATCACATGTAAAAGAGGACTCCTTGGAGAGGAAGGAGGGACAGAAGAGGGGGCGGGATGAAGAGACACCCCCCCCCCCCCCACCACCACCCAATACTGCAGCCATCTCTCTCCTGGTTAGCATCCCAAAGGTCTGTTACTCTGCCAGATACAGCTAATAAATGGTTTCTATCCAGCCTCAAACAAGCTCTTTTATTTAATTAAGTAAACGACATACACATCCTCGCCTAGACATCTAATACCTACCTTAGCCTGCTGTTTGTTATTTATTTGCAGCATTTATATGCCGCCCTTCTCACCCCGAAGGGGACTCAGAACTGCTTACAAGATATATATATATATCTCATACAATATATTACATTATTAGCATAGCACAATATCAATATTATCAGGCTATTGTGATATATTTTATTAGGCTTTTAATGTATTGATGTTGATTTGACCAATTGTGTTACATTTATTTAGTTTATCCTTGGTTAAGTTCTGTTGCTTATAAGTTATATTTAGTTTAATTTACTTCATGTTTCATTATGATTGTTGTTTATTTGTTCCTGGCAATTAATGTTTGCCATTTCTGTTATACTTTGGAAACCACCCTGACTCCCTCCAGGAAGAAAGGGCAGGGTATAAATCAAGTTTTTATTATTAATTAATTAATACTACCAAAGTTTTGGTACAAATGACCAGAGTGAGAGAACTGAAAGAAAAGAAGCCTCTCCTGGGATTCGGGGAGGCTGGGTAAGGCAGAATTGTAATTGTGATTTGTTACTCTGCTCTTTTTAATAGAATAGCCACTACTAGCAGTAGTGATGGGGTGGGGGAGATGAAGACAAAAATCCTGGTGATGGAGGGAGGGATAGAATAACCTATTTAATTTGTCCGTTAATGTCTTCAACTTGGAGATGGGAGGGCGAATGGCACAAGCCAGAAGTGTACATTATGATTTGTTACTGTAAGTAAAGGTAAAGGTTTCCCTGACATCAAGTCTAGTTGTGCCCGACTCTGGGGGGTGGTGCTCATCTCCATTTCTAAGCCGAAGAGCCGGCGTTGTCCATAGACGCCTCCAAGGTCGTGTGGCCAGCATGACTGCATGGAGCACCTTACCTTCCCGTAGAAGCGGTACCTATCAATCTACTCACACCTGCATGTTTTCAAACTGCTAGATTGACAGAAGCTGGGCCTAACAGTGGAAGCTCACCCCATTCCCTGGATTTGAACCGCTGGCCTTTTGGTCAGCAAGTTCAGTAGTTCAGCGGTTTAACCCACTGCGCCACCAGACCTTGGCCTACACTACACTTGTCAGCGCTGACAAAATTACAAAAAGCCATATTACTCAGATTTGCACGCATTATTCGCCAATACATCACACAGTCCTCAACACTTGGGAAGTGTTCGACATGTGAGTGACTACAAAAACCAGCATAGTGATCTTGTTTGCTGTGTACTAATCTAGTTATGTATAAAATAATAATTCTGCCAACCTAGCAGTTCGAAAACATGCAAATGTGAGATCAATAGGTACCACTCTGGCGGGAAGGTAACAGCGCTCCATGCAGTCATACTGGCCAGATGACCTTGGAGGCGTCTACGGACAACGCTAGCTCTTGAGCTTAGAAATGGAGATGAGCACCACACCCCAGAGTCGGACATGACTGGACTTAATGTCAGGGGGAAACTTTTACCTTAACCTACAAAATAATAATAATAATAATAATAATAATAATAATAATAATGTGGTATTATTGAATCCTAGAACCACAAAGTCCTAAAACTACAAAAACAGTACAAGGGCCACCCAGTCCCTATTGTACTTATGGTGCAAATTTCAATTAAAAAAATTACTTTTAAAAACGTGATTATTAATGATGGGAGGAACAAAATTGTGGCTCTCCAAAACCTGGGGGGGGGGGGGGGGAGATGAAGATCGGGATTAAGGCAGAATTTGAGAATTGGGATTTGGACATGTGTTCACAGCACAGTTCACTAAAAGGGCCCTCCAGGTGTTTTGGCCTCCAACTCCCACCATTGCTAACAGCCTCAGGCCCCTTCCTTTTTCCCAAAAAAGGGGGGGGGGAAGGAGGGAGATGAGATGGGATAAGGCAGAATTTTAGATTGGGATTTGCTACTGTATAGTGATATTGTGGAGCAGGCCCGGGCCAACTTGGGCCCTCCAGGTGTTTTGGACTCCAACTCCCACCATTAAGCGGCTGAGGGGGAAAAGGAAGGGGCCTGAGGCTGTTAGGAAAGGTAGGAGTTGGAGTCCAAATCTCCTGGAGGGCCCAAGTTTACCCAAGCCTGGTTTAGAGGGGGGAAAGAAAGGGGCCTGAGGCTGTTAGGAATGGTGGGAGTTGCAGTCCAAAACACCTGGAGGGCCCAAGTTTACCTGGCTTAGATGGGGGAAAGGAAAGGGCCTGAGGCTGTTAGGAAAGGTGGGAGTTGGAGTCCAAATCTCCTGGAGGGCCCAAGTTTACCCAAACTTGGCTTAGAGAGGAGAAAGGGGGCAATGAGGCTGTTAGGAATGGTGGGAGTTGCAGTCCAAAACACCTGGAGGGCCCAAGTTTGCCCAAGCCTGGCTTAGAGGGGGGAAAGGAAGGGGCCTAAGACTGTTAGGAATTATGGGAGTTGCAGTCCAAAAACACCTGCAGGGCCAAAGTTTACCCAAATCTGGATTAGAGGGGGGAAAGGGAGCAATGAAGCTGTTAGGAATGGAGTCCAAAACACCTCGAAGGGCCCAAGTTTACCCAAGTCTGGCTTAAAGGGGGGGGGGGGGAAGGAAGGGGCCGGAGGCTGTTAGGAATGGTGGGAATTGGAGTCCAAAAACACCTGGAGGGCCAAAGTTTACCCAAATCTGGCTTAGAGGGGGGAAAGAAAGGGGCCTGAGGCTGTTAGGAATTATGGGAGTTGCAGTCCAAAACACCTGGAGGGCCCAAGTTGGCCCAGGCCTGCTTTGGACTCTCCTGCTTTGACTTTGGGCTCTTCTTTGTGTATTTAAGAGTGATATCGGAACACATTACGGAGCATAAACAAGAAGCAGGGCCTGTGGAGATGCTGAGAGAGTACAGCCAGGGCTGGGCCCCCCTCCTCTGCCCCCCGTCCTGTCACCTACCTGCTGCCCCCCTCCGCCTTCCTCCCCGGCCCCCCTCGCCCGAGAAGAGAGAGAGAGAGAGAGAGAAAGAGAGAGATCGGCGGGTACTGGACCTTTCGTCCGGGCCGGGCCCGTGGAGGAGGAGGTGGTGGTGTTGTTGTTGGAGCGGCCGGGCGCCGCCGTGGCCCGGGCTGCTGCCCTGGTGTTGGTGGCTGTGAAGGGCGGCGGTGGCCGGAGAAGGGGACGGGGGGCTAGAGTGCGGGCTGCTGCTGCTGGGCGGGGGGGGCACGCTCGGGCTTTCCACCGCCATGGACGGGGCCTGGGCCTGGGCCGGGGCCTGCGTGGGGAAGAACGGAGCACGGTGCGAAAGGGGAGAGAGGGAGGGCGACCGGGAGGGAGCGAGCGTCGCTTGGTGGTGGTGGTGCTTGCGGCGAGGAGGAGGAGAGAGACGGACGGGGCACAGTCACTGTTGTACAGGGCGGGCCTCGCGGCTGCTTTGCTGCACCACACAAAATGGCGCCCGCCCGCCCGCTCGCCTCGGCCTCAACCTGAGGGCTGGCAGCGCGCGAGGACGTGCGCGTGCGCGTCGGTGCCTGTGCGCGCGCGCTCGCGCTGCCCCCTTCCCTTCTTTCCTTTTTCTCCTTTCTACGTTCAGCCAGCGAGAGGCGCACGCGGACGAACACACCCGGCCTCATTAAGCGGAATTCTCCGAGCGCTGCCGGAAATTGCCGAGCGGGGCTCGAGTTTCTTTCGCTCTCCCTCTCTTTCTGTGTGCCTCTACAATGACGTCACTGCGCACGCGCACGGCCCTCCCCCCTTCCTTTCCTTTCTTCGTTTAAATCTGTTTGTTTTGTTAAAAACTAGCTGTCCCCTGCCACGCGTTGCTGTGGCCCAGTCTGTTGATCTATAACAGGGGTCCTCAAACTTTTTAAACAGAGGGCCAGGTCACAGTCCCTCAAACTGTTGGAGGGCCGGATTATAATTTGAAAAAAAAAAAGAAGAATGAATTCCTATGCACACTGCACATATCTTATTTGTAGTGCAAAAGACATTTATTTACTTTACTTGTATACCGCAGTTTCTCAGCCCAACAGGCGACTCAACACAGTTTACAAGGATAAGAATCAATCAACGATATACAATTTAAAACCATAAAAGCATAATATACAATATTGACACAATAGACAACACAATGCATCTCATAACTAGAGTCGTGATCCAATCCGTCATCCAAATTTCCAATTGTTGTTGTTGTTCATTCGTTCAGTCGTCTCCGACTCTTCGTGACCTCACGGACCAGTCCACGCCAGAGCTCCCTGTCAGCCGTCACCACCCCCAGCTCCTTCAAGGTCAGTCCAGTCACTTCAAGGATGCCATCTAGGAAAGCCTAGAGAAGACAATTATGCTGGGGAAAGTGGAAGGAAAAAGGAAGAGCGGCCGACCAAGGGCAAGATGGATGGATGGCATCCTTGAAGTGACTGGATTGACCTTGAAGGAGCTTGTGGGTAAACAGCAAGAAATACTGTTTACCCACAAGCATAAAGAAATTAAATATATTAGAAACCAACACCTTCTCATTACTTTATTTTCCAGATCATCAGACTGGGCCACAGCAACGTGTGGCAGGGGACAGCTAGTGTAATGCAAATGTCTGGTTGCTCTTGACACGATAAATAAATAATTCAGCCAGTGAGTGGAGCCCCCGGTTTTATTTATTTATCGTGTCAGGGGCAGACCAAACAGTTGCATTAACAAAGAAACAAACAAACAAAATACAAAGTTTGCAAGCTTGGTAGTTAATTAAATGTCCTTTGACCAGTATCTGGCCACTTGGAGTGCCTCTGGTGTTGCTGCAAGGAGGTCCTCCATGGTGCATGTGGCAGAGCTCAGGTTACATTGCAGCAGGTGGTCTGTAGTTTGCTGTTCTCCACACACACGTCATGGATTCCACTTTGTAGCCCCATTTCTTAAGGTTGGCTCTGCATCTCGTGGTGCCAGCGCGCAGCCTGTTCAGCGCCTTCCAAGTCGCCCAGTTTTCTGTGTTGCCCAGGAGGGAGTCTCTCATTTGGTGTTAGCCATTGATTGAGGTTCTGGGTTTGAGCCTGCCACTTTTGGACTCTCGCTTGCTGAGGTGTTCCAGCGAGTGTGTGCCGTCACACACGTGCTTGTGTTTTGTTTGTTTGTTTGTTTAAAAAATGCAATACAACTGTTTTGTTTGCCCCTGACACGATAAATAAAAAAAATGTGTGCCACTACAGTAACGTTACTGCGCACGCGCACGGCCCTCTCCCTCCTTCCTTTCCTTTGCTTCCTTCAGCCACAGCCAGTGAGCGGCGCAAGCGGACACACCCGGCCGGCCCAAACCACAACGTGATTGAGGCCTCGCTGGCGGAAATTCTCGAGCGCCACCGGAAATTGCCGAGCCGGGGAACCGAGCTTGTTGTGGGTGTCTCTTGGGTGTGACGTCACGGCGCCAAGCCAGAGCGCGCAGGCGCATCACGTCGCAAAGCGAGGGAAACGTGTGGGCCGGCCGCTGGTGGCTGGGCGCCGCCATTCAAAGAGGCTTCGCCGGTGCTGAGGGGAAAGAGGCGCTTCTCCGGCCGCCGCCATGGTGGAGAAGGAGAAGGCAGAGGCTGGGCCCGGGGGCGCCATCAGCGAAGAGGAGGCGGCGCAGTATGACCGCCAGATCCGCCTCTGGGGCCTGGAAGCGCAGAAACGGTAACTCCCGAGGGGGGCGGGCCGAGGAGCAGGCCTCGAAGGGTGCTGGGGGTGCGGGGGCACGGAAAGGGAGGCCTGAGGGTCATGGAAACCATTCTGAAGGAAGGAACCAAGGGGAAGGCACGCCTGGTGGACACACAGACCCCCCAAGAGAGTGGAATCATAGAGAAGTATTGCTCGAGCTTCCTTATCTCACATTACAGACAGTCCCCGAGTTACAAACTTTCGAAAGGCAGAATCAGTTGGAAGAGACCTCATGGGCCATCCAGTCCAACCCCCTGCCAAGAAGCAGGAATTGCATTCAAATCACCCCTAACAAATGGCCATCCAGCCTCTGCTTAAAAGCTTCCAAAGAAGGAGCCTCCACCACACCCCGAGGCAGAGAGTTCCACTGCTGAACGGCTCTCACAGTCAGGAAGTTCTTCCTAATGTTCAATGCAATCTCCCAATGGAAGTATACCATAAAATTGCACTGGAGAACCTAGCTTGCTCCCTCCTCCCTATGACTTCCTCTCATATATTTATATCATGTTTCCTCTCAGCCTTCTCCTCTTTCAGGCTAAACATGCCCAGCTCTTTAAGCCGCTCCTCATAGGGCTTGTTCTCCAGACCCTTGATCATTTTAGTCGCCCTCCTCTGGACACATTCCAGCTTGTCAATATCTCCCTTCAATTGTGGTGCCCAGAACTGGACACAATATTCCAGGTGTGATCTAACCAAAGCAGAATAGAGGGACATTCGCTCCTGGGGAGTCATTTTGGGGAAAAAGTGTCTCAACTGAATTCTTGTTTCCACAACAAGCTGAATTTCCAAAATCCAATGATCACAGGGCCAGAATGTGAGGTGAAATGTTCTAAACAGGAGCACAGACAGCAAAACAAACCCCTTCCCTATGCTATCCAAAGCATGCATATCTATATAACTAAAAATATAATATATGTTTGTATTATTATTATGTTTTTGGGATTAATATAACTCAAAAACCACTGGACGAATTGCCACCAAATTTGGACACAAGACACCTACTAACCCAAGGAATGACCATCACTCAAAAAATATGATTTTGTCATTTGAGATTTATAGTTTACTTACAATCAAACAGCATTCTGAACTCCACCAATGATGAAAACCATCTATATAAATAAAAATTCAATGTTTGTATGTGGGGTTAACATAACTCAAAAACCACTGTGTGTGTGTTTTTTTTGGTCATGTCAGGAGCGACTTGAGAAACTGCAAGTCGCTTCTGGTGTGAGAGAATTGGTCGTCTGCAAGGACGTTGCCCAGGGGACGCCCAGATGATTTGATGTTTTTATCATCCTTGTGGGAGGCTTCTCTCGTGTCCCCGCATGAGGAGCTGGAGCTGATAGAGGGAGCTCATCCGCCTCTCCCCGAATTCGAACCTGCGACCTGTCGGTCTTCAGTCCTGCCAGCACAGGGGTTTAACCCACTGCACCACTGGGTGAATTGACACCAATTTTGGATGCAATACACCTATCAGGCCAACGAGTGACCATCACTCATAAAAAGACTACACTGAAAAACACAGCAGAAAGGACTTAAAAAGCCAAAAACCAAAAATACATTACAATGCATGCGCAAAGTCATATATACACACACACATACGCATATACACAAATATACACACAGACTGGGCCACAGCAGCACATGGCAGGGGATGTGCTTTTGATCTGTGGTGTTGGAGGAAAGTGCTGAGAGTGCCTTGGACAGCGAGAAGATCCAACCAGTCCATACTTCAGGAAATACAGCTCAACTGCTCATTGGGGGGGAGGATATTAGAGGCAAAGATGAAGTACTTTGGCCACATCATGAGAAGAAAGGAAAGCTTAGAAAAGACAATGATGGTGGGGAAAATGAGAGGAAAAAGGAAGAGGGGCCAACCAAGGGCAAGATGGATGGATGGTATCCTTGAAGTGACTGGTTTGACTCTGAAGGAGTTGGGGGAGGTGACGGCCGATGGGGAGCTCTGGCGTGGGATGGTCCATGAGGTCACAAAGAGTTGGAAGTGACTGAAGGAATGAACAACAAACAAAAATATATACACACACAAGCCGTCCCCTGCCATGCATTGCTGTGGCCGTTCTGAGAGCCGTTCAGCAGTGGAACTCTGCCCCGGAGTGTGGTGGAGGCTCCTTTGGAAGCTTTTAAACAGAGGCTGGATGGCCATCTATCAGGTGATTTGAATGCAATATTCCTGCCTCTTGGCAGGGGGTTGGACTGGATGGCCCATGAGGTCTCTTCCAACACTTTGATTCTATGATTCTATGCAATCCTGGGATGTTCAGTTCAGGGCCAGAGAGCTTTTACCAGGCTGCATATCCCCGGATTCCCTAGGATGATTGCAGTGGCTGTTAAATGTGGAATCATAGCGGCATAATAATGTAGCATGTAAACTCGCCTTTCTCCTTCCCAGCAGTTATTGTTTTCCTTATTCCCAACCATCGGTTTCTTAATAATGAGAAGGGAGCTTATTGAGAGGAAACCATTTGGACTGGATGGAACCATCTTGCCAGAATTCTTAGGTTACTTCTTCACAATCTTCGCTGCATATTGGTGGTCCATCATAATTGATATTTTCTCTCCATAACTCTACCCCACAATCCCCACTGAGAATTGCTCTCACCAGCAGGGATTCACATGTTGCGGCAGTGTTGGGGACAACAGGAGAGAAACCTTATTATTCCAAGAGCATACAAGAAAAATGGCTTATAATTTGCCATAATTAAAATGGCTAATTATAAACTTTACTTATTGTGATGTATACACCAGCTGTCCCTGGTGAAAGAACATTCTAGTTCTTATTTATCATGGGGATTCGGGCAGCTGTAGTCTCAAAAAAGTAACTTTTTCAAGCTTTGCTCAAGGCTCTCTCTAATAAAACATTTTTGGTAATAATACTAATTTAAATCTCTATAAACTAGGATAAAATAGAAAAGAAAATATGATTTTTTTTCATTGAAGCAATACTAAAATCTATAATCTAAATCTAGAAGTAGGCAATGAAGGGGCTAAAAATGCTATACATTCCAGGCCAGGGCTTAGATTATGATTATAGTAATGACAACAACAATAATAATTTTATTTCTTTCCCGCCTCTCCTCATGACTAGATATATTTTGCATATAAGAAATAGGAAACTATTTTCATCTTAAATCTCTTTGCCTTGTACCATGAATTGTGTTTGGAGCAAAGTTTTTAGCCTTATTGGTAGATAATGATGTGGCCTTCATAAATAAAGCCCTGGTGCCAAATTCTGGATTTATATCTATCTGTCTATATTTGCTAAATGCAGTGTTTTTCAACCTTCCTAAAGCTGCAACCCCGTCATACAGTTCCTCATGTTGTGGTGATCCCCAACCATAAAAGTATTTTCGTTGCTACTTCATAACTGTAATTTTGCTACTGTTATGAATTGTAATGTAAATATCTGTTATTTACATTACAATTCATTCACTGGACCAAATTTGGCACAGATACCGTATACAACCAAATTTGAATACTGTTGTGGTTGGTGAAGGAATGATTTTGTCATTTGGGAGTTGTAGTTGCAAAGATTTATAGTTCACCTACAATCAAAGAGCATTCTGAACTCCAGCAATGATGGAATTGTACCAAACTTGGCAGACAAAACTCCCATGACCAACAGAAAATACTGGATGATCTTTGGTGACCCCTCTGAAACCCACCTCGTGACCTCCCCCCCCAGGGGTTACGACCCCCAGGTTGAGAAACACTGGCTTAGTAGATGGTACTTTTTTCATACCATATAAAAATGCCAGTCTTTGGTCAGCAGCTCAGTTCATGGTGCTAGATGCTAACATCTGCTGCTACTGCTTCTTCTTAGCCTCCGGGCATCTCGGGTGCTGCTGGTGGGCATGAAAGGCCTGGGAGCAGAAGTGGCCAAGAATCTCATCCTGGCAGGAGTCAAAGCGCTAACCATGCTTGACCATCATCAGGTAAGCATTCTAGTCTTACTGAGCTTCCTTTACATAGGGGCTTCTTTTAGTTCTTTCCCACAGTGTGCTCTAATCCTGTAATGAGGTTTGCCAGGCTGGAGGCTTCTCTTGTCATGTGCATGGTATATCACAGCAGGCTTTCCCAAAAAGCAAAAAAACACTGGAAATATTTTTTATTCTCTTGAGCCGGGAGGGCTTCTCAAAAAAGGGAAGAAGTTAGCCAGTCTTAGTTTTTTATTATTTATTTCCTATACTTATACCCTGCCTTTCTCACCCCTTAAGTTCCGATAGTTTTCCTGTGGGTGAATTGAAAGAAAAACATAGTCAAACGTCTTATCCAAATACCGCCCCCAAATAGCAGAGCTATCTGGTAGAAATGAGAACTCTCCAAAAGAAATAGCAGTTAGCAACTTAGTTAACTGTAGCATATAATATAATGTATAGTTTACTCAAGATTTTTCTGTATTGAAAGAGAAGTGACATGTTATTTAATACTCTGTTGTAAATTGGGTGCCCACATGTTTTTATGCAAATGTCTCATGGACTACCCTAGCAAAAAAAATGGGTCTATATTTTTTTCCAAATGAAACAGTTCAATCAGACCTCTGGAAACCTTCAGTGGGGTCATCTGACCATTTCAAAGTGATTTCATATTTTGCAACTTGTTTTAGGAATAAAGTAATCTTTTTAGCAATTGTTGGGGTGGTAGTGCAGCCCACTGAGGTGTTTATGTGCGTACAAGAGAGAGAGAGAGAGAGAGAGAGAGAGAAAATCAAGATAGAGGCACACATCTCTCGTACTTTGGTGACTTTTCCTTTCTCTGCTTAGGCATGCTACAAAGTCTAAAAATAGATTACCAGATGGGAAATTGATGGCCAGGTACAACCAGACATTGTGAAAGTTGGGAGAGCAAAATGACTTAACATTGGCAACAGTTTAAGATGAGACAGCTGAGGAAGAAGAGTTGAGCTATATTTCACCTTGATGAGTGGGGAGAGTAGAAATCAGAATTAGTTTTTTGATCAGATGTGGCATGTGGGTTATTTTTTATCACCAGGTAATTTTTTTTCTTTTCCCTTTGTCTCTTCTGGTTACAAAGTTCAATAATTTCATGTTAGGTTTTGAAACATTAGTCTTTCCTGGTGCTGATTTTGAACCAGCTGGGATTGCTTCCTTGTCTCCATGATTTGGTCCTTTTTGAGTGGAAAATGTGGGAGAGCTATGAGTTTTCCGGGCTATATGGTTATGCTCCAAAATCATTCTCTCCTGACATTTTGCCCACCTCTGTGGCAGGCATTCTCAGAGGTTGTGAGGTCTGTTGGAAACTAGGCAAGCGAGGTTTATATATCTGTGAAATGTTCATGGTGGGAGAAAGAACTCTTGTCTGCTTGAGGCAAGTGTGAATGTTGCGATTGACCACCTTGATTAGTATTTAATGTTCTTGCAGTTTCAAAGCCTGGCTGGTTGCTGCCCGGGAGAATACTTTATTGTGAGGTGTTCGCTGGCCCTGATTGATTTGTGTCTGGAATTCCTGCTTTTTGAGTGTTGCACGAAGAAAATCAGTGCTATGTTCATCAAAAGACAAAAGGGACCCTCTCACCTCTGCAAGAGTCTACCATATACCATAAAGCTATGGACAAATCTACATAGGGACCACCAAACACAGCATTGCCCAAACATGAATCAAGAAACATGAAAGGCATTGCAGACTAATTCAGCCTGAGAAGTCAGCCATAGGAGAGAACTTGATGAACCAACATGGATACAGCATATTATTTGAGAACACAGAAATGCTTGAGCACTCTAACAACTACCATGTCAGGCTACACAGAGTATCCATTGAAATTCACAAGCATGTGGACAATTTAAACAAAAAGGAAGAAACTATGAAAAGGAACAAAATCCGGTTACCAGTATTAGAAAACTCTAAAATCAGGACAGTTAATAAAGAGTAACACTCAAAAACCAGAGGCATTCCAGACAAGAATCAACCAGGGCCAGCTAACACCTCCCAACAAAGGATTCCCCAGGCAGCAACCAGCCAGGCTTTGAAACGGCAAGGCCATTAAATACTAATCAAGGTGGCCAATTGCAACATTCACACCTGCCTCAAAGAGACAAGAGTTCTTTCTCCCACCCTGGACATTCCAGTTATCTAAACTTCACTTGCCTAGTTTCCACAGACGATAGATGTGGGTGAAATGTCAGGAGAGAATGCTTCTGGAACTCGGCCAAATAGCCTAGAAAACTCACAGCAACCCAGTGATTCTAGCCATGAAAACCTTTGACAACACAGATGTGGGAGATTTCTTGCCCCTTTGCTCCTCAGGTGATGCCAGAAGACACACAAGCACAGTTCCTGATCCCTACAGGCTCCTTGGGTAAAAACAGAGCAGAAGCCTCGCTGGCACGTGCCCGGGATCTGAACCCCATGGTGGATGTGCAAGCAGACTCTGAGAACATCGAACAAAAGCCTGAAGAATTTTTCATCCGTTTTAATGTGGTGAGCTACCAAATGAATAGAATAGAATAGTTTTATTTGTCATTGCGCTGTTTCACAATGAAATTACATGCCTTTCCTTGCACACATCACAAAATAACAACACCACTGCACAGCCCTCAATGCCACATCAGTGCGAAACTACAGAGTTCAGCTATCCTTCAATCTGTTTGTCCTTGTCTTTGTCACCCTGTACAGTCTGCCAGATGACAATGATTCAGAAAAGGAAATTGAGAGGGAGGGAAGACTGTACCAGCTGATGATGATGATGATAATGAGTGCCATGCCAAAAGATCTCAGCCGGCATTTGCAGACAATAAACATTGACAAAAGCATGATCTGTCAACTGCAAAAGGCCACCTTATTTGGACCTACGTACCTCATTTGAAAATACATCATACAGTCCTAAACACTTGGGAAGTGTCTGACTTGTGATTTTGTGATACAAAATCCATCATATATATCTTTTTTGCTGTGTCATACTGTGTTTTTGTGTCAGTATATTATTATTATTATTATTATTATTTATAAATAATTATTTATATCCCACTTTTCTCCCTCACGGGACCCAAAGCAGCTTACAACATTAAAATCATGTAAACAACAATCCAAATGCATAGATAATAAGTATAAAACATCATAAAATAACAATTTACAACAACAATAATATACATTCACTTTCTTGTGGCATCATGTCAGATTATACGAGGGTTAAATGAAAAGTAATGCCTCCACCTTTGTAACTCCTCAACAGTTGACAGTTCTGGTATGTGGCAGGTACTGGCTTGTTCAGTAGACCCTCTACAGTTCCATTTTGGCTGGAAGCCTTAGCATTGAACGGTTGTGTTGTTAAAGTGCAAAGTATGGAACCCTGCACAGACAGWCAGTCAGTGCGACTTAAGCAACGTGTAGTCATTGAATTCTTGACAGCAGAAGGTGTCACCCCAAAGGAGATTAATCAGGGAATGCAAGCTATTTATGATKATTGTGTTGATGTGACTACTGTGCGTCGTTGTGCGAGTAACTTTAAAGATGTTGAGGTRGGAACATCTGACTTGTGTGACAAAGTTGGACGTCCTGTGACAGCAACCACCGAGTTTCACAAGCAAAGGGTTGATAGATTGATTCAGGACGATCGTTGTATCATTCAGAGAGAAATTTCAAACATAATCGGCATTTCACAAGAATGTGTGGGTCACATTATTGCTTTGCTTGGCTATCAGAAGATCTGTGCATGATGGGTACCCAGGATGCTGACGCCTGAAATGAAAGCACACAGACTTGAAACTTCAGAAACTGGATCTCCCCACCGTACGGCATCCTCCATACAGTCCAGATTTAGCACCGTCTGACTTCCATCTGTTCCTGATAATGAAAGAAGATCTGCGGGGACACCATTATGCTTCCGATGAAGACATTGAGAGAACTGTRAGATGCTGGTTGCGGAAACAGTGTCGACTTCTTCCGTGATGGCTTCAGAAAATTTGTTCATCATTGGCAGAAATGTATCCAATTGTCTGGTGATTATGTGGAAAAGTGAATAGTGGTAGTTAAAGAGCACATTCCAAGGATTATTTCTGCGTTAGATTTATGAAAATATTCCCATCCAAACCCAAATAACGAAGGTGGAGGCATTACTTTTCATTCAACCCTCGTATCGCACACACTCTGCACTGGTTTTCCTAGCCTTGCTAAGTTTTTCAGACATAAGAAGAATCCAGTGTGTCTCTGCTGAGTCTTATGTTTCCATATTCCCTCTCCCATGCCTGTGGGCTGGCCTCTGCCTTTGCAACGTTATCCAATATATCTTAAGGGGCAATTAGCTGTCTCTCCTGCTCTCTAACAGAAGATCTCCATTCTACTTACAGTCTGTGTACTGTGATTGTTGGGACAGATGTGTGTGTGTGTGTGTCAGAGTGATGTTTGCCTTACCCATGTGCCAAAACTTGACTCCTGCCTGTGGTTTTTGGTTTTTGCTTTTTCCAGGTCTGCTTGACGTGTTGCTCTAAGGAGGCCCTTGTGAAGGTTGAGCAGATCTGCCATAAGAACAATATCAAGTTCTTCACGGGCGATGTCTTTGGCTACCACGGCTACATGTTTGCCAACCTGGGAGAACACGAATTTGTGGAGTGAGTCTCTTTTTTATTTATTTATCGTGTCAGGAGCAGACCAAACAGTTGCGTTGCATTTTTTAACAAACAAACAAACAAAACACAAAGTTTGCAAGCTTGGTAGTTGGTTAAATGTCCTTTGACCAGTAGCTGCCCACTTGGAGTGCCTCTGGTGTTGCTGCAAGAAGGTCCTCCATTGTGCATGTGGCAGGGCTCAGGTTGCATTGCAGCAGGTGGTCTGTAGTTTGCTCTTCTCCACACTCGCATGTCGTGGATTCCACTTTGTAGCCCCATTTCTTAAGTTTGGCTCTGCATCTTGTGCCAGAGCGCATCCTGTTCAGCGCCTTCCAAGTCGCCCAGTTTTCTGTGTGCCCAGGGAGGAGTCTCTCATTTGGTATCGGCCATTGATTGAGGTTCTGGGTTTGAGCCTGCCACTTTTGGACTCTCGCTTGCTGGGGTGTTTCAGCGAGTGTCTCTGTAGATCTTAGAAAACTATTTCTTGATTTAAGTTGCTGACGTGCTGACTGATACCCAAACGGGATGAGCTGGAGATGTCACTGCCTTGGTCCTTTCATTATTGGCTGCTACTTCCCGGCGGATGTCGGGTGGTGCAATATCGGCTAAACAGTGTAATTTCTCCAGTGGTGTAGGGCGCAGACACCCTGTGATAATGCAGCATGTCTCATTAAGAGCCACATCTACTGTTTTAGTGTGGTGAGATGTGTTCCACACTGGGCATGCATACTCAGCAGCAGAGTAGCATAGCGCAAGGGCAGATGTCTTCACTGTATCTGGTTGTGACCCCCAGGTTGTTCCAGTCCGCTTTCTTTTGATATTATTTCTAGTGCCCACTTTTTGCTTGATATTCAGGCAGTGCTTCTTGTAGGTCAGAGCACGGTCCAGAGTGACTCCCAGGTATTTGGATGTGCTGCAATGCTCCAGTGGGATTCCTTCCCAGATAATCCTCAGAGCTTGGGATGCCTGTCTGTTCTTAAGGTGAAAAGCACATGTCTGTGTTTTAGATGGATTAGGGGTCACCTGGTTTTCCCTGTAATAGGCAGTAAGAGCACCTAGAACTTCGGATAGCTTCTGTTCAACCATCTCAAAGCTCTCTGCTTGAGCAGTAATGGCACGATCATCAGCATAGATGAAACTATCTGTCCCTTCTGGCAGTGGTTGGTCATTTGTGTAAATGTTGAACATGGATGGAGCAAGCACGCTCCCCTGAGGCAGGCCGTTCTTCTGTTTCCGCCATCTACTTCTCTGGCCCTTGAACTCAACAAAAAAGCTCCTGTTTTGTAGCAGGTTTCCTGTGAGGCGGGTGAGATGGTAGTTCTTTGTGATATTATACATGTTACTCAGGAGGAGGCGGCGGTGGTTTACAGTATCATAAGCTGCTGACAGGTCTATGAAGACAACTCCTGTGATCTGCTGCCTTTCAAAGTCAACTTCTATGTGCTGAGTCAGATTCAGCACTTGCAATGTACAGCTTTTGCCTTTCCTGAAGCTAGCTTGCTGTGGGATCAGACATGGGTCTATTTTTTCCATAATTCTGTGCAAAATAAGTCTCTCCAGGACTTTGTAAAGGTGGCACAACAGGGAGATTGGTTTATAGCTTTTTGGATCATTACAGTCTTTGCCTGGCTTCAAGGTGGCTATGACTCTTGCTTTCCTCCAGATTTTGGGGATCTGACAGGATGCAGTGCAGTTGTTCATCAGTTCATCAGTGAGTCTCTGAGATTGGGGAACAAAGACATTCTTGGGTTGGGGTCAAGGCTGAGAGAGAAACGAGAATCTATCAGATTTTCTCTCTGTGGAGCTTGACCACTGGAGGGAGCCAAAGAGCCATAGTTTCCATTTGCGTTGGCTAGGCTCGCCCACCCATGAGTGAAAGAAAAGCAGTCATTCCAAAAAGAGTCCATCATTCTTGGGGTAAGGAATGAATGAGAGGTGTCCCATCAATCTCTCTGCATACCATACAGGGAGAAGACTAAAGCAGTGAAAGCCAGCCAGGGAGCAGAAGATGGACCTGACTCAAAGAAGGCCAAGCTAGACTTGACAGAGACCACCCTGGTGAAAAAGGTACATGGGAGGGAAGGGGATGGAGGATGGAGTGGTCCTTTGGCAGTGAGCAAGGTGTTGCATTTTCCTCTAGACACCACCAGGCTGTGCCCCTGCTGCTTATCCTCTGTTATGCGTTTGCCACACAGCTGTGTGTGGTATACTGGTCTTCATCCAAGGAATGCCATGGAGCCGAGCCTTCCTTCTGCCTTCGGGCAAGTCTGCCCTTGTCTGTTGTAAACCATCCAGTGGAGAGCCATCTCTTGGATGTTTCTCATTCTTCATGTGCCCTGTAGACCCATCCGTTTTCCCAGCGCTTCCCTTTCAGGGGAGGTTAGCTATAGCTGAAAAGTACTGTGCAGCACCTTTGCAAAGATGAGACGGAGCAACCCATTGTGTTCAGAGTTATAATTGGAACTCAGTGGGAGAACCATCCTAGGGCTGCTTGAAGATCTCACGGTGTCAGATCTCAGCCTCTTTTAAAACAACATCGAAAACTAGATTTGTTCTTCACAGAGATAAGGGTGTCTTGAATGGTAACAAACATGTAATGATTTGTTGTCGAAGGTTTTCATGGCCTTGCAGGTTTTCTGGGCTGTATGGCCATGTTCCAGAAGCATTCTGGAGAAAACATCAGGAGAGAATGCTTCTGGAACATGGCCATACAGCCTGGAAAACTCACAGCAAACCATGTAATGATTTGTTTGTCTGGAAAACATTGCTTTCAATTAGTGCTACACAGATCATATGCCAAAAACTGACCCTCTGTACCAGCATTTCTCGACCTGGGGGTCAGGACCCCTGGGGAGGGGGTCACCAGGGGGTGTCAGAGGGGTCACCAAAGACCTTCAGAAAACACAGTATTTTCTGTTGGTCACAGGGGTTCTGTGTGGGAAGTTTGGCTCAATTCTATCATTGGTGGGGTTCAGAATGCTCTTTGGTTGTAGGTGAACTATAAATCCCAGCAACCACAGCTCCCAAATGTCAATGTCTATTTTCCCCAAACTCCAACACTGTTCACCTTTGGGAGTATTGAGTATTTGTGTCAAATTTGATCCAGATCCATCATTGTTTGAGTTCACATGTAGGTGAACTACAACTCCAAAATTCAAGGTCAATTCCCATCAAATCCTTCCAGTATTTTCTGTTGGTCATGGGAGTTCTGTGTGTCACGTTTGGTTCAGTTCAATCGCTGCTGGAGTTCAGACTGTTCTTTGATTGTAGGTGAACTATAAATCCCAGCAACCACAATTTCCAAATGACAAAATCAATCCCCACCAACCCCACTAGTATTCAAATTTGGGTATATTGGGTATTTGTGCCAAATTTGTTCCAGTGAAATTTGTTCCTGCATATTAGATATTTACATTATGACTCACAACAGTAGCAAAATTATAGTTATGAAGTAGCAATGAAAATAATTTTATGCTTGGGGGTCGCCACAGCATGAGGAATTGTTTCAAGGGGTCATGGCGTTAGGAAGGTTGAGAAACACTACTCTATACTTTGAATGGACAGAGTTAAGGAGAAGAGTCTGGCCTGAAGTTCAAAAGAGTTAGAGGAAAACTGAGATCAGGAATTTAATCTCTGTTCTCATATCAACACTGAAAACAGTGTGATATGTTATTAGAGGAAATGGAATATATCTGCATTAAGCAACTGAATATGCAAACCAGTTATGTCCTATCTTTTTAAAACGGCTTTGTCTTATATAATTCTTTTTGCTGAAAGTTTTAGAGAAATGGTCCCTTAGCAACTGAGATTCAAAAGTCTATTCTCCCTAGTTGGATTTAGCTGTGAAGTAATTTAAATAATGTTTATGTCCTGTTTTGCTTTTTGGCCATGGATGTTGGTATGGAAGTTTTAACTTAGAGAAATTTCCAGTTCCCTTTGGAGACGGATGCCTCCATGGGAATGGGAGCACTGCTTGCTTTGTGTGTACTCATTGGTTCCTTTCCCAAAACTTTGGCCTTATCACAGGCTAATTGAGTGAATGACAATGGTCTTAGAATAAAACCAGGCCAAGTTTTCCTTCTATCTGACAAAAAAGCTCTGCTTGCTAAATTGTATCCCCAATTCCTTGTGTTTAGTTATGAAAAGCGACCATGTTATAGGCTTCTACGAGGAAATAATTCATGGAGAATAATAATAATAATATAATAAAACTTTATTTATATTCCGCTCTATCTCCCCGAAGGGACTTAAGGTAGATTCCAAACATAAAAGGCAAACATTCAATGCCCGAACACAACAACAATACATCCATACTAACAAAATTTAAACAACCCAACATATAAACACAAATTATGACTTAACAATTAAAATTAAATAAAAAAACGCAGCCTTTTATAACAGATATAAGACAAAACATCAAAAATCGAATGGAAACAATAATTTCCCAGATCCTTGGGGCAAATAGATCAATTATTGCTCAAGATATCTATTGAGCTGGTGGGGTGAACAGGGCACGGATACGGATGGCAAATATTAATCAGAGGTATAATGGTAGTAGTAACAGCTACCGTATTTTCTGGCGTATAAAACTACTTTTTAGCCCAAGAAAATCATCTCAAAAGTCAGGGATTGTCTTATATGCAGGAGTAGTCTTATACGTCAGGAGTCTGCTTATAGAGCGATTGCTGTAACTACAAATTCCGGATTGGAGAATCTGTGGTTGCCGCATACAGTGGGGGGAGCTCAAAAATAGCAGTGACTGCATCCCTGCCATATGCAGGGACTGTTTGAAAACATTAAGGGCAACGCTGTACAAGTACGGTAGAAGAAAATCCATTCATCAGGATTCGTGGACTTAATGCAGTCCCAATGGTGAGGTGAAGGGGTGCCTCACGGGAAGATGTAAGTGAAGGGCGGAGCAAGCTGCAGGCATCCAGGGCACCTGTGGTATGGAAAAAAGAGATAGAGTGGCTCTGGGCCAGAAAAACACACCTCTTTTACCTGTCTGGCCCGTCCTTGTATCCTATTACCGTACCTCCTCCTCTGCCTCTCAGATCTCGCTCCTGAAGACTGCAATGAAGCGGTGCAGGTGCGCATGTGTGAGATCTTAGAGGCAGAGAAGGAGGGACAGTAATAGGAGAATTACCATATTGAAATCAAATCTAATGGTTTTAAAGTTTTTATTTGGTGTTCGTTGGAAGAGGGGTAGTCTTATACGGCGAGTATATTCCAAACTATGCTTTAACTGGAAAAGTTGGGGGGGGGTCATCTTATACGCCCAGTTGTCTTATATGCCGGAAAATACAGTACTATTCCTCCTCCTCGTGAGCCAGCCAAGGTGTGTTTCTAATGTTACACAAAATGCCAGGGGTGGATTATTTTGTGTATGCGTGTTCAAAAGATTCCGTACTTCCTACCAGTTCTGTAGTGCACCCCTTCCTCCCCATATTGGTTTGGAGAAATTCCAGTTTGCTGCTATCTCCTTGGCCACTCACCCATCTTATCTATCCTCTTTCTGCCTTTTTTATGTTTCTCTTCCAGCGTGTGACTTTCTGCCTTCTGAAAGAGGCCCTATCTCTTAGCTGGAGCAGTGAGAAGGCCAAGGCCGCTGTGAAGCGCATCACAACAGATTACTTCCTCCTCCGAGGTAAGATACTCTGCTGAGGCTGCGTGAGCACATGCTTGGAAGTAGCCTCTCTGTTGAAATGTTGGGAACATCAGGGCTGTGTTGATAGCTAATCACGTGGCGGCCCTTTAAGATCACATGACTCCTGACCACCACAAACAATGGGGCTGTGTCCAGCTGGCAGACATGTGAGCGCCTTGTGCTCTGAGGAGCAGCAGGGTGGTCCAGGATGCGTACAGCTGAGACAAACCAAGGGGCTTTAGGGCACTGTTCCTGGAACAGTCCAGGCATTCATCTCTTAGGATGACAAGGACCCAGCTCTCTTCTATGAATATGGGGCGGGTGGGTGTGCCTATTCTTGGAGTGAAAAGGGTGGTGGGTTGTGCCTTGTTCTGTCTTGGGTTACATAGGGTTATGTTGGTTGGCTCTAAAGCAGCCGGTATGTTGTCCTTTACCCCTCACCAGAATCTGACTGTCTGAAGCAAAGTATCCTCATTTTTTCCATAGAGGTGAACCAGTAGAAATGATACAGATTGTCCAAATGGGTTCCAGAGATAGTGACACCCTTGCTTTTTTAAAAATGTAATTTTTATGCAACAAGAGCAAACAGACAAACCATCAAATATGTAAAACACTAGACAAACCATCCCCTCCATTAACAAAAACAAAACCATGCAAATACGTGTTCTTGGTGTAAAAGGTAATTACAACTAATACAACGTAATCTACAGCAATCATCTTCACTACGGCTGCCAAATTGTAAACATTCTCTGGATAATGGAGGAAGGCAGGAAGTTTCAGGAAAACATCTATTTCTGTTTTATTGACTATTCTAAAGCTTTTGACGGTGTGGATCATAATAAATTGTGGCAAGTTCTTGGTGGTGTGGGCATACCAAATCAGCTCGTCCATCTCCTGAGGGATCTGTATAATGACCAAGTAGCAACAGACCAGGGAACAACAGACTGGTTCAAGATTGGGAAAGGAGTATGGCAGGGGTGTATATGCTCACCCTACCTATTCAACTTGTATGCAAAACACATCGTGTGACGTGTGGGGCTTGACAAATTCAAGGCTGGAGTTAAAATTGCTGGACAAAATATTACCAACCTTAGATATGAAGATGATACCACTTTGATGTCTGAAAGCAAGGAGGAGCTTTAACCATGGTGAAAGAAGAAAGTGTACAAAGTGGCTTGTTGTTGTTCATTCGTTCAGTCATTTCTGACTCTTTGTGACCTCATGGACCAGCCCACGCCAGAGCTCCCTGTCGGCCATCACCACCTCCAGCTCCTTCAAGGTCAATCCAGTCACTTCAAGGATGCCATCCATCCATCTTGCCCTTGGTCGGCTCCTCTTCCTTTTTCCTTCCATTTTCCCCAGCATCATTGTCTTCTCTAAGCTTTCCTTTCTTCTCATGATGTAGCCAAAGTACTTCATCTTGGCCTCTACTATCCTTCCCTCGAATGAGCAGTCGGGCTTTCTTTCCAGGAGTATGGACTGGTTGGATCTTCTCGCTCTCCAGAGCACTCTCAAAACTTTCCTCCAACACCACAGTTCAAAAGCATCTATCTTCTTTTGCTCAGCCTTCCCTAAGTTCCAGCTCTCACATCCGTAGGTGACTACGGGAAATACCATTGCTTCAACTATGCGGATCTTTGTTGCCAGTGTGATGTCTCTACTCTTCACTATTTTATCGAGATTGGTCATTGCTCTCCTCCCAAGAAGTAAGCGTCTCCTGATTTCCTGGCTGCAGTCTGCATCTGCAGTAATCTTTGCACCTAGAAATACAAAGTCTGTCACTGCCTCCACGTTTTCTCCCTCTATTTCCCAGTTGTCAATCATTCTTGTTGCCATAATCTTGGGGTTTTTTGTGATGTTTAGCTGCAACCCAGCTTTTGCACTTTCTTCTTTTACCTTGATTAGAAGGCTCCTCAGCTCCTCCTCACTTTCGGCCATCAAAGTGCAAGGTGGCTTGCAGTTAAACATAAAAAAACCCAAGATTGTGGCAACCAGACTGATTGATAACTGGCAAATAGAGGGAGAAAACATGGAGGCAGTGACAGACTTTTATTTCTAGGTGCAAAGATCACTGCAGACACAGACTGCAGCCAGGAAATCAGAAGACGTTTACTTCTTGGGAGGAGAACAATGACCATTCTTGATAAAATAGTGAAGAGTAGAGATCACACAGGCAACGAAGATCCACGTAGTTAAAGCAGTGGTATTCCCCATAGTAAGCTATGGATGCAAGAGCTGAACTATAAGGAAGGCTGAGCGAAGGAAGAAAGACACTTTTGAACTGTAGTGTTGGAGAAAAATTCTGAGAGTGCCTTGGACCACAAGAAGATCAAACCAGTCCATCCTCCAGGAAATAATGGCTGACTGTTCACTGGAGGGAAGGATATTAGAAGCGAAGATGGAGTACTTCATCCACATAATGATAAGACAGGAAAGCTTGGAGAAGATAATGATGCTGGGTAAAAGGAAGGAAAAAGGAAGAGGGGCCGGCCAAGGGCAAGATAGATGGATGTTATCCTTGAAGTAACTGGCTTGTTCTTGAAGGAGCTGGCGTGGACTTGTCCAGGAGGTCACGAAGAGTCAGAAGCAACTGAACAATTAAACAACAAATGACTACCACTAAACATATACTATGCTTACAACAACATTGCCTACTCTATGAGCCTCACTCTCCGCCTAGATGTTTTTACTTCTTCATAACAAGGATCGTGTAATTTTAATATTTATACTAGGATGTTTTAATACTTTGTCTTAATGTATAAATGTTATTTATGTTATACGTTTAATGGTTTTAATAATTTTAATTTATAGTCTTAGTTATATGTTATTGTTTAGTTATGATTTTTTTTACATGGATGTTGGCATTGAATTTTTGGCATCAGTATGTTGTAAACCACCTTGAATCCCCCCAGGGTTGAGAAAGGTGGTATATAAATATAGTAAGTAAATAAATAAATACATAAAAAAACAAATAAATTATGTAGATATACAGGATCATAGAATTGAAAGAGACCACATGTGCCATCCAGTCCAAGCCCCGACCATGCAGGAAAAGCACAATCAGAGGGGAATACAACTGCATGTAATAATAATAATAATAATAATAATAATAATAATAATAATAATAATCTATATAAATAAAAATGTAATGTTCATTTGTGGGATTAACATAACTCAAAAGCCACTGGACGAAATTTGGACACTGTACCCCTAACAGACCAACAAGTGACCATCACTCAAAAAACCCTCCCAAAATACAGCAGAAAGGACTTAAAACCTCAAAAATGCTAAATGATGATACAGCGCATGTGCAAAAATGACAGCTCCCAGCATCCCCTAGACCAGGCCCTTTAGGGGAGGAGGATGCTCCAAATGCACTGCTTCCAAGCTGCAAGCTAGCTTCTCCTTGGATTTCTTTGAGAGCATCCCAATTATTGCGTATTTCCAATTTCCTATTCCTGGACTGCAACTCCCAGCAATCCTCCAGATAGTTAAATATATAGATTAGATATAGATAGATAGATAGATAGATAGATAGATAGATAGTAGGTAGATAGTAGGTAGATAGATCAATAAGGAGGACTGCTGGGAGTTACAGTCCAAGAATAAGTAGAGAAGGAAGAAAGGAGGGAAAGAAAAAGGGAGGGGAAGGAAGGAGGGAACGAGAGAAGGAAAGAAGAAAAGGGAAGGGAAGGAAGGCAGGACAGAAAGAAAGGAGAGAAAGAGGGAGGGAAGGTTGGCCACAACAACCCATGGTGGGTACAGCTAGTAATAATAATAATGTTTATTTATTTCCTGACTCCTCTGGGACTTGGGGTGTCTTACAACATTAATAATACAATAAAGTGCAATACAGTATAGAGGTGATCAGCTGGACACAGTAAGAAGCAACCATCTCTTCTTGTAAATGTGCTGATAGAGATGTATCCTCTGCCAGCACAATATAGGATCCTGCCAATTTTGTTGACCGTTATGTAATTTTGCTTGAAAGCTTTGCCTGAAATTTCTGTTTGAATTGGGAGCTATTTTGTATCGATATGAAACCAGCATTTATTTGGCTGGTTGGAAGTTTAAAGCTTGTAGAAGAACAAGCCTTGGACCACGAGAAGATCCAACCAGTCCATACTTTAGGAAATAAAACCTGACTGCTCATTGGAGGGAAGGATATTAGAGGCAAAGATTAAGTACTTTGGCCACATCATGAGAAGACAGGAAAGCTTGGAGAAGACAATGATGCTGGGGAAAATGGAAGGAAAAAGGAAGAGGGGCCGACCAAGGGCAAGATGGATGGAGCTATCCTTGAAGTGACTGGCTTGTCCTTGAAGGAGCTGGAGGTGGCGACGGCCAACAGGGAGCTCTGACGTGGGCTGGTCCATGAGGTCATGATGAGTCGGAAGCGACTGAACGAATAAACAACAACAAAGAACAAGCCTTGCTGAAAAATAATCAACATCACTGTTGAAAATGAAACTTCAGTTTCACTCACCTTTTTATATTGTTTCTAGTATTAACTATCTTTGTCTGGATGTGGGGCCATAGCCAAACCATTCTCTGTTCCCTTGTAGTCCCCACCAGTGTTGTGGCTCAGTTTTATTCTGAGTCTGAACCTGAACCCTGTGGGTCTTGTGAGCCACCAGAGTTCCCTGATGAAGAGGATGATGGGATTCAGATTTCTGGGCCTGTTTCTGTGCCTGTCTCAGACAGTGCAACAGGAGAGACAACAAGTCAGTTCTCAAGGGAAAAGAATGCCAGTGAGCTAGATAATGGCCAGGTGGAGTTGTCTTCGCCTGCTCAGCCTTCCCACTGTGATTTGGTCCAGCTGGACCAAACTGATACAAGAAAACATTGAAGATAGTGAATTAATGAGCAGGCAAGAACGCTTAGATTGGAGGGTCAGGAGGAGTTCGTGCTTAGTTAGTAAGAAAGAAGCCAAGTCGTCCAAAGGTCATCGCAACGCCTTCATGTTAGCAAAGGGTATTTAGGTTTCTGGCTGACAAAGAGAAAGTGACAGTTCAATGTGGCTCTTTCCATGCAAGCTTCTATGGATTAACCTTGGCTTTAAGCAGCACGCTTTTGGGATTTTGGATCTTGTGTTTCACTGTTTTACCATGGACTCCTGTTTGATCATTGCCTCAAGGATTATGCTTCATGTTTTTGCCTTTGGATCTTGAGAACTGTGTTTTTGCATTTAACCTTTGTCTTTGGAACTTTGCATTGCTTACTCTATGTTTTGACTTTGTTTTTCCTCAATAAACTACAAAATCTACAGCTCTGGTGTGGTGGTGTTTTGGGAGCAAGGTGAAGCCTACTCTGAGTTGCAACAACCAGCAACACAGTGGCCTTGGGATGGCAAGGATAGTGGTCCTTGCAGTGGAATTATGCTTGTGTCTGTCACTAGTAGGATTCTGGCCATAATGCAAATGGAAGCTATCAACAACATTACAGGTTTGTGGGGCATTGGTGTGCGTTGCTGCTACCTTTTAAAAAGTGCTATCTCGTCCTTCACAATTATCTTCCAGTGCTCCTGAAATTCCGGTCAGAAAAGGGCCGAGATCCGTCCACTCAAAGCTGCACAGAGGACTCTGAGACGCTCCTACAGATGCGTAACGCAGTGCTGGCCTCACTCGATATTGAGAGCGATCTGCTCCCTGATGACTTTGTCAGGTGAGTAGCTGCCTACATTTGGTTCTCCTTCCCTTAAGGCAGTGGTTCTCAACCTTCCTAATGCCGTGACCCCTTAATACAGTTTCTCATGTTGTGGTGACCCCCAACCATAACATTATTTTCGTTGCTTCTTCATTACTGTAATTTTGCTACTGTTACGAATTGTAGTGTAAATACCTGATATGCAGGATGTATTTTTATTTACTGGACCAAATTTGGCACAAATACCCAATACACCCAGATTTGAATAATGGTAGGGTGGGGGGGGGGGTTGTCATTTGGGAGTTGTAGTTGCTGAGATTTATAGTCCACCTATAATCAAAGAGCATTCTGAACTCCTTCAGTGATGAAACTGAACCAAACTGGTACACAGAACTCCCAACAGAAAATACTGAAAGGGTTTGGTGGGCATTGACCTTGAATTTTGAAGTTGTAGTTCACCGACATCCAGAGAGCACTGTGAACCCAAACAATGATGGATCTGGTCCAAACTTGGCACACAGACCCAAAATGGCCAACTGTGAATACTGGTGGAATTTGGGGAGGATTGACCATGATTTGGGAGTTGTAGTTCACCCACATCCTTATGCATTTTCTAGTGGGAGCATTAATAAAAACCATAAGAAAAACCGACTTATTTCTAATAAATAGTGTTACAAATTACCCAAGCTGCTGCTGCTTCTCCTCCTGATGCTGCTGGGCTACTCACAGTCCCATGTCACACAGCACTTTCCCCTCTGCCTGGAAGAGAGTCACCTGCGTGAGCCTCCCTCCAGCCTCGTGAGCTCTCCCTTACCCACACCTACTCACCATGCTACCATGTCCTTGGCATGCCTGCTCTTCCCTCCTTGCTTGGAGTCTCAGAAACAGCCCCCCCCCCCCTTTGGCTGAGAGGCCAGCTGAATGACTGGCCAATCACAGCTTTTGGTGGGAGGATTTGCCGTCTGTTTCCAAAAAGGAAAAGAAGGGCAAGCTGAGGGATCTTCAGCCTTCTCTGCTAAAGGGGTTCCTAAGACCATCAGAAATAAGTGTTTTCTGATGGACTTTGGTGACCCCTACGAAACCCCCTTGTGACCTGACCCCCAGGTTGAGAAATGCTGCCTTAAGCCGTATTTTCTGGAGCTGGAGGGCTTAGGTCCTGCAGTCCATGGAAACTGTTCATGCATCCAGCATACTTTGGTCGCAGTACCATCATAGCCAGTTTGACTGGTGGCCTAACAGTAGCCTGCCTGAATTTTGGAGACTGTATCTAGACTGGGGTTTCTTCAACTTTTCCAGCCTGATAAGTTTTTACATGACCCTGGTTATATTGGCATATAAAATAAGTATAAAATCCAATATTTCTTTTTTTAAAAATAATTTTTTATTTGGTATAAAGAAAAATATATAATTTCCAAGTAAAGTGGGAGAACATAGTATTTTGAAGAAAAGTAGGAAAAAAGGACAGAAGTGTAAAAAAAGTGTGTGTATATATGTGTGTGTGTGTGTATGAGATAAAGGTGAAAATAGAAATAAAAATAAAATCTTGTGACTTCCTTCTAATCCTACACGGGTTCAGCTTTATTGTCTATATGATCTTCCTGATTTTTTCTTGCTTGTCCACTCTTGTGTCCCATATTGATATAATATCCACAGTTAAATTTCACTGTGAAATTTAACAGAGAAAGAAAAAAAATCCAATATTTCTTGATAACAAATCAGCATTTGAAAAACAGTTTCAATTTTCCTTTTTATGAAGTACAGCTAAAGCCTCTTCTGCAAAGTAAACACTACACAACAGATTGATGTAAATGTCTAAAACAGCTGCTAGCTGACATTCAGAAAACTTTTCCTGTTGCCATATTTTTTGGGACCTCAAGATTGAGCCCATGTGGAGTCAGAACCCACAGTTTAGGAAGTCCTGGTCTACACTGCATTGTTCCTCTTCCATCCAGAGCTGCTTCAGGGGGCAGCATTTGGGGACAAAAACTGGGTCTTTTTTGGAAGCGTCACTAAAGTGGGCCTGGCAGAAAAACTGCCCTTTCCTCCTCCCCAAAGGGTCTGAGCTGGAGACAAAGCAGTGTGTGTCTGCGGTGAGGGTTTTGCATGGCTAGCGAATGCCTTGCCCTGCTGAACTGCTCTCCTGCGTGTGCATGGTGTTCCGCTCCAAGAACCTGCTGCGGAGGCAGGGTCTGCTGGCAGGACCTCAGCACCACTCTAGGCTGCAATGCTTCGAAGCCTCGCAGTTGCCAGGTGACCTTGGTTTTACACAAGGTCTCAGGCAAAAGCTTAGCCTCTTTGCCCTTAGAGGTCTTTAGAGAGAGGCAATTTATTCCCCCTTCCTTCCAGAGGAAGGAGAAGGATAAGAAAGGTGGGCAGCAACAAGTTTGCTTGTGCCCATTTGGGGACTGGCCAGACTATGCAGACCCTTCCATCGGCATGTTGCTGCATGCCACTCAGAAGGGGCCTGGACAAGAATGGAGGAGAGGAATGTGGGCCTGCCCTGAGGGGATGAGCGACCAGGGGCTATGTTTAGCAAGGCTGTCTGGGGCATGCGGGGGCACCCTGCCCTGGCCGCAGCGGAGTGTCTGGAATGCCCGCTGCTTGGGTGCATCGAGCATAACATCGGACGGGATTATGTTGCCTGGGCTACAGTGGACCAAGGATGCGCTTGGCTCCGCTTCCCTGCTCAAGGTGCCTGGCCTGATGTGCTCTCCTTGTCTGAGGGTTTCACAAAGAGTGCCTTCAGGAAGTCATCTTCAAAAATCTAAAGCAGACATGGGCAAACTTCGGTCCTCCATGTGTTTTGAACTTCGACTTCCACAATTCCTAACAGCCAGTAAGCTGGCTGGGATTTCTGGGAGCTGAAGTTCAAAACACCTGGAGGGCTGAAGTTTGCCCGTGCCTGATGTTAAGAATACGCAAACACCTTTTTCTCATCCTTGATCAAATTCAGCTGTGAAAAAAGGTCTGAAATGTTATCACGTGGGAAAATGAAGTGAGCAAACATTCCAATGTGCCGCATCATCCCACTAATAAAATCCTCAATCTCTGCAAAGAGCAAAAAAAATCCCAACTATTTTGGATTTTTCCCTCTCACCTTTCTGCAATATTTTGATCAAAAATTAATTTTACTGAAAAAATTCCTAAAATGGAAAAATAATCAAAACGCACTCCAATTCTCATAATCTCACTCAAATGATTTTTTTAATTATTTATTTTTATTTATTTTGTATCGAAGACATTGCATAAATTTGTATAAACCCGTTAAAAATAGAAGGAGCACAGGTGGCTAAATATCTTTTGACCAAAAATGGGCAACAGCAATGGCATTGTCTGTAGCCTCCAACAATTCTTCCTCTGTACATGACGCAGGGCATAGTGGACAAGCATACAGATGCAGAGTTGTCTGTTCGGCTCCACAGTCACATAAGGTGTAGAATTATTTTTTGAAATGTGAAATGTTTTTAAATGCCTAATGTGTATTCATTTTAATTTAATGTAATTTTATCTTAATGTTTTTGGAATTGTATGTGTTTTAAGGCATTGAATAATTGCCTATATGTAAGTCCCCTTCGAAGTAGAGAAAGGTGGGGTATAAATAGGGTAAATGAATAAATAAATGTGTAGTTCTCTACATGAAAACAAAGGTTTATATCCCTAAATTGTCTGATGTCTGGTTATTGCTTTGTTGTTGTTTCTCTTAGCTTCTGCTTCTCAGAAATGGCTCCCGTCTGTGCTGTCGTTGGAGGCGTCCTTAGCCAGGAGGTGGTCAAGGTAAGAAGGAGGAGAGTTTTCCTTCCCTCGCCGTGTGTCCCTGGGTCGGTGCCCTGAATTGGAGGAGGGAGTTGATAGGAGAGTTATCTTTTGCAGATGGCGAGTTCCTCCAGAGTTTGATTCTTCCTCCTTGCCTCACCCATGCGCACCAGCACAGCTGCAAGCTGTATCTCATATCCCCTGCTAAGCTGAGCATTCCTAGCGAAGGGGGCGGGGGCGTCCCTCTGGAGAATTTAAATGCCTCTGCTGTGTCCTGGCTGGCAGTGGAGATGCGACGTGGCCCTTTTGCCTCTTGCACTCTTCACTCTGGGCTGAAGGACCTATAGGAAGTTGCCATATACTGAACCAGGTTCTTTGTCCATTGGCCCTGGATTTCCCCCACAGTGGTGCCTGTCCAGCACTAACTAGGCCCACCTCTGCTTAGCTTCCGAAATCAAGGAATGGGACTTGTTTATGGAGTGATATCGTGCATCTTTATGTTGCCTCCTCTTTATCTCCTCTAGGCCCTCTCTCAGCGGGATCCTCCCCTCAACAATTTCTTCTTCTTCAATGGCATGAAGGGCAATGGGATCGTGGAGTGTCTATCTCCTACTTGAATCTGGGCTGTGAGTGATAATCTCCATCCCAGAACCTTTGATCAGATTCTCCTCCCTCCATCTGCAGTGGGCACCTTTAGGCTAAGGGGAACTGTGTGTGTATGTCTCTCTCTCTTTCTCTGTCTCTCACCACCTTGGGTGCCCTTTGTCTCAGTATTCAATAAAACCTTCTTTTACACGATATGGTTCCCTTGTCATTGGTGGTGGAGCAGATTTTACCATGAAATCCTGTTTGAAAATGTGGGCACAGGGAGTGTGATGATGCCGTTACTTCCTGCTGCTGCAGCTCAAAGTGCCATGGAAACAATATGGCTGGAAGACAGTACCGGGATAGCAAGATAGTGGGGCTGAATGGCCATTATGATATCCTTGTGGGGCGGCTCTCCAGAATGGGTCTTGGGGACATTGCACTGTAGTGGCTCTGCTCCTAGAATCATAGAGTTGGAAGAGACCTCATGGGCCATCCAGTCCAACCTCTTTTTTGCATTTTTTGCATTCAAAGCACCCCAACAGATAATAATATATAATAAACCTTTATTTATACCCCACTACCATCTCCCGGAGGACTCGGTGCGGCTTACAAGAGGCCGACCCCACATGCATCAGTAAAAACAACAACAGTAACAATACAACAACAAATGAGCTCAAAACAAAGCAATAAACATTAAAAACATACCACGACGCATTAAAATCTATGGCCATCCAGCCTCTTTTTAAAAGCTTCAGAAGAAGGAGCCTCCACCACACTCTGGAGCAGAGAGTTCCACTACTGAACGGCCCTCACAGTCAGGAAGTTCTTCCTAATGTTCAAGTGGAATCTCCTTTCCTGTAGTTTGAAGCCGTTGTTCCGCGTCCTAGTCTCCAGGGCAGCTGGAAACAAGTTCGCTCCCTCCCCCCTGTGGCTTCCTCTCACATATTTATCCATGGCTATCATATCTCCTCTCAGCCTTCTCTTCTTCAGCCTAAACATGCCCAGCTCTTTAAGCCTCTCCTCATAGGGCTTGTTCTCCAGAGCCTTGATCATTTGAGTCGCCCTCCTCTGGACACATTCCAGCTTGTCAATATCTCTCTTCAATTGTGGTGCCCAGAATTGGACACAATATTCTAGGTGTGGTCTGACCAAGGCAAAATAGAGGGGTAGCATGACTTCCCTGGATATAGACAGTATACGCCTATTGATGCAGGCCAAAACCCCATTGGATTTTTTTTGCCGCCGCATCACATTGTTGGCTTTCTGGAGGATTGCACCCAGTTGGTGAAGCTGGGGGACACCTGCTCGGGCCCCTGTCCTTCGACCTGTGAGGTCCCGCAAGGTTCTATTCTATCCCCCATGCTTTTTAATATCTACATGAAACCACTGGGAAGGGTCATCAGGAGTTTTGGAGTTCAGTGTCATCTGTACACAGATGACACCAAACTCTATTACTCCTTTCCATCAAATTCCAAGGAAGCTCTCCAGATCCTGGACCCGTGCCTGCCTTCTGTGATAGACTGGGTGTGGGCTAACAAGAGCTGAAGCTTAATTCAGATAAGACAGAGGTCCTCCTGGTCAGTCATGAGACCAATCAGAGTATACAGTGGCAGAAATTATTTATTTATTTATTTACCACATTTAAATACCGCCTTTCTCAGCCCGGAGGCGTCTCGGGGCGGTTCACAATTGGCAACAATTTGATGCCTCAACAATTATAACAAAAAATTATAAAACTGTTAAAAACATTTAGCATAAAATATAAGAATGTTTAAAAACCGTACAAAACCTTAAAAACATTGTCGTGAGGGTTTCCATGTCAAGTTATTATTCAATTGCATTGTCAAGTTGTTCCATGATTCGGTATAACTATGCTGTATTTGGGAAGGCCTGCTCATAAAGCCAGGTTTTCACCATACTTTGAAAAGTCAGGAGGGAGGGGGGCAATCTTATATCCCTAGGCAGGGCATTCCACAGTCGAGGGGCCGCCACTGAGAAGGCCCTGTCTCGTCCCGGTGTCCCCGTGTCCCCCAACACATCTGTGAGGAAGGCGGGACCGAGAGCAGAGCCTCCCCAGAAGATCTTAACATCCTGGATGGTTCATAACGAGAGATACATTCAGATAGGTTTATTTATTTATTTATTTGTCGTGTCAGGACAACCAGTCAAATTATATTACATTTCTAACAGAACAAAGCAAACAAACAGACAAAATACAAAATTAGTGAGTTTGGTAGTTGATTAAATGTCCTTTGACCAGTATCTGGCCACTTGGAGTGCTTCTGGTGTTGCTGCAAGAAGGTCCTCCATTGTGCATGTGGCAGGGCTCAGGTTGCATTGCAGCAGGTGGTCAATGGTTTGCTCCTCTCCACACTCGCATGTCGTGGATTCCACTTTATAGCTCCATTTCTGAAGGTTGGCTCTGCATCTCGTGGTGCCAGAGCGCAGTCTGTTCAGCGCCTTCCAAGTCGCCCAGTCCTCTGTGCGCCCAGGGGGGAGTCTCTCATTTGGTATCAGCCATTGGTTGAGGTTCTGGGTTTGAGCCTGCCATTTTTGGACTCTCGCTTGCTGAGGTGTTCCAGCAAGTGTCTCTGTAGATCTTAGAAAACTGTTTCTAGATTTAAGTCGTTGACGTGCTGGCTGATACCCAAACAGGGGATGAGCTGGAGATGTCTCTGCCTTGGTCCTTTCACTATTGGCTGCTACTTCCCGGCGGATGTCAGGTGGTGCAATACCGGCTAAGCAGTGTAATTTCTCCAGTGGTGTAGGGCGCAGACACCCTGTGATAATGCGGCATGTCTCATTAAGAGCCACATCCACTATTTTAGTGTGGTGAGATGTGTTCCACACTGGGCATGCATACTCAGCAGCAGAGTAGCATAGCGCAAGGGCAGATGTCTTCACTGTATCTGGTTGTGATCCCCAGGTTGTGCCAGTCAGCTTTCGTATGATATTGTTTCTAGCACCCACTTTTTGCTTGATGTTCAGGCAGTGCTTCTTGTAGGTCAGAGCACGGTCCAGAGTGACTCCCAGGTATTTGGGTGTGCTGCAATGCTCCAGTGGGATTCCTTCCCAGGTGATTCTCAGAGCTCGGGATGCTTCTCTGTTCTTAAGGTGAAAGGCACATGTCTGTGTTTTAGATGGATTAGGGATCAGCTGGTTTTCCCTGTAATAGGCAGTAAGAGCACCTAGAGCTTCGGAGAGCTTCTGTTCCACCATCTCAAAGCTCCCTGCTTGAGCAGTAATGGCACGATCATCAGCATAGATGAAAGCTCTCTGTCCCTTCTGGCAGTGGCTGGTCATTTGGCACGATCATCAACATAGATGAAGCTCTCTGTCCCTTCTGGCAGTGGCTGGTCATCTGTGTAGATGTTGAACATGGATGGAGCAAGCACGCTCCCCTGAGGCAGGCCGTTCTTCTGTTTCCACCATCTGCTTCTCTGGCCCTGGAACTCAACAAAAAGCTCCTGTTTTGTAGCAGGTTTCCTATGAGGTGGGTGAGGTTCAGATAGGTAAGTTGGACTGAAAAGCTTGTGCACTAGCTGAGAAGGTACCTCAAGAAGCCAGGCTTGGCCACTGTGACCTTAGTTACATCAAGATTGGACTACTGTAATGCTCTGTATGTGGGGCTGCCTTTGAAGACTGCTCGGAAACTGCAATTGGTCCAAAGATCTGCAGCCAGGCTGCTAACCGGAGCCAGCCATAGAGAGCATATGATGCCCCTACTAAAGCAGCTCCATTGGCTGCCTATAAGTTTCCGGTCCCAATTCAAAGTGCTAGTTCTCACCTATTTTTGTGACCGCATCCCCCGCTATGAACCAGCATAGGTTCTAAGATCTGCCAGGCACCGTCACAAGCACAGTTGGTGAGGACAAGGGAGAGGGCTTTCTTGGTGATGGTCCCCCAGCTTTGGAACTCCCTCCCAGGGAGATTAGACAGGCCCCCACCCTGTCTTTCTTTCATACGGACTTGAAGACGTGGCTCTTCAAGCCTTTGAGAATATTTAGCCTCTAGTTGCCCTACATAGTCGCACATCCTGCACTTTATCCCATGCCCTCTCCATTACTGCAGCTGGCACTTATTTCATTCCAATGTTTACAACCGGGCCATGGTTACAGTGATTTACCACCATGGTTTGAGGATCGCAGCTTGATTGAGTCTGAATTGATGTTTTTCTATGTGCATGTGTCTTATTTTATTGTGTTTTATATTGTACTAGCTGTACCCACCATACATTGCTGTGACCAACCTTCCCTCCCTCTTTCTCTCCTCCTTTCTTTCTCTCTTTCCCTCCCTCCCTCTTTCCTTCCTTCCCTTTTTTCTTTCCTTCTATCCTTTCTTCCTTCCGCTTCCCTTCCTTCCCCCCTTTTTCTTTCCCTTTTCTTTCTTTCCTTTCTTCCTTTTCTACCTATTCTTGGACTGCAACTCCCAGTACTCCTCCTGATCAATCTACCTGCCTATCTATCTATCTACCTGCCTATCTATCTATCTATCTATCTATCTATCTATCTATCTATCTATCTATCTATCTATCTATCTATCTATCGTCTATCTATCGTCTGTCTATCTATCTATCTCTATATCTATCTCTATATCTATCTTATCTTGAGTTACAGTCAAGGAATAGGAAATTGGAAATATGCAGGGAATCCACAGAGAAGAAAGCTTGCAGCTTGGAAGCAGTGCATTTGGATCATCTTCCTTTCCTAAAGGGCCTGTTCTAGGGGATGCTGGGAGCTGTAGTCCAGAAGAGAGTGTGGATATGCTATTGTGTGTTTTGTTTGCCGGGGGAATTGTTTTCGCACATGCGCTGTAGTGCCTTTTTGCCCTCTACCTTGTGGGGTTCTTCAGGGGGCCTCTGTTATTTAACATCTATATGCTACCACTTGCTCAGCTGTTTCGAGGTTTTGGGCTTGAGTGTTACCAGTACGCTGATGACACTCAGCTTATGTTGAAGATGAAAGGCCGGCCAGACTCTGTACCTGATAATTTTCATCAATGCTTTGAGGCCATTACTGGATGGCTGCGTGCCAGCAGGTTGAGGGTAAACCTGGCAAAGACAGAGATCCTATGGCTGGGTCGACCGGGCAGTGGGGATATCCAGCTACCTAYCCTGGATGACGAGGCACTACGCCTGTCRTCATTGGTAAAGAGTCTGGGAGCCCTTTTGGACCCTCTGCTGAYGATGGAGGCCCAGGTCTCCGCCGTGAGCAGAACCACCTTTTTTCATCTGCAGCAGGCTAGACGGCTGGCCCCCTCCCTGTCCAGGGACGACCTAGCTACGGTGATCCAGGCCATGGTCATCTCAAGACTGGRCTACTGTAACGCCCTCTACATTGGCCTTCCTCTGTCGGTGATCCGGAAGCTCAAGTTGGTACACAATGCAGCTGCTCGGCTTCTTGCAAGAGTKCCAATGAGATGCCACATAACACCAATCTTACTGCAGCTGCATTGGTTGCCAATTGAGCACCGGATCACTTTCAAAGTGATGSTACTTACCTTTAARGCCTTATATGGTCTGGGGCCAGTGTACCKAAGGGACCGCCTCACCCCCTACCAACCCCAGAGATCTCTCCGTTCTGAGGACCAAGATTTATTGGAAGTTCCCAGTTTTAAAACCTTGCATCTAACAGCAACTAGACGCAGAACCTTTACAGTAGTGGCACCATCACTGGAACACTCTGCCACCAGAAGTTCGTGCCTTGCAGGACTTATCAGCCTTCCACAGGGCTTGTGAGACATATCTGTTTCAACAGGCTTTTGACCTTTGATCTGTTGTTTTAATTTGTGTTAGATTCCAATTTGTTTTGTAAGCTGCTCCGAGCCCTAGGGGAGTGGTGGCATATAAGTTTGAATAATAAATAAATCACTGCAAGATTACGCTGGGTGTGTGTGTAAATTTTCCTCTTTTTTGTGGTAGCAGCATTTAAAGACTTGTGTGCCCCAACATTAGAGAACATGGGTTGTGGTGAGTTTTCCAGGCTGTATGGCCATGTTCCATAAGCATTGTCTTCCGACATTTCGCCCACATCTATGGCAAGCATCCCCAGAGGTTGTGAGGTATTGGCAACGAAGTAAGTGGGGTTTATATATCTCTGGAATGTCCAAGGTGGGAGAAAGAACTCTTGTCTGGTGGAAGTAGGTGTGAATGTTGCAATTAATAACCTTGATGAGCATTTAATGGCCTCACAGCTTCAAAAACTGGTTGTTTCCTGCCTAGGGGAATCCTTTGTTAGGGGGTGTTAGCTGGCCCTGATTGTTTCCTATCTGGAATTCCCATTTTTTGAGTGTTGTTCTTTCTTTACTGTCCTGATTATAGTGTTTTTAAATACTGGTAGCCAGATTTTGTTCATTTTCATGGTTTCCTCCATTCTGTTCAAATTGTCCACATGCTTGTGGATTTCAATGGCTTTTCTGCGTAGTCTGAGAAGGTAGTTGTTATAGTTTTTTCTCTCACCCTGGACCTTCCACAGATATGTAAACCTCCCTTGTATAATTTGCAATATACTTCACTACCTCTGAGGATCCCTGCCTGCCATAGATGTGTTTCTATTTACCAACAATGGACAGCAACAATAAAGTGTCAAAGCCACCTGAATCTCAGATTTGCTAAGGTTTACAAAATAGGGTTGCTGTGAGTTTTTCAGACTGTATGGCCATGTTCCAGAAGCATTCTGTCCTAACGTTTTGCCCACATCAGGCATCTTCAGAAGTTGAGAGGGGTTACTGTGAGTTTTTCAGGCTGTGTGGCCATATTCCAGAAGCATTTTTCCCTGATGTTTCGCCCATATCTATGGCAGGCATCCTCAGAGGTTGAAGGATTGCTGTGAGTTTTTCAGGCTGTATGGCCATGTTCCAGAAGCATTCTCTCCTAATGTTTTGCCCACATCTGGCAGGCATCCTCAGGAGTTGTAGGGGTTACTGTGAGTTTTTCAGGCTGTGTGGCCATGTTCCAGAAGCATTTTCTTCTGATGTTTCGCCCACATCTATGACAGGCATCCTCAGAGGTTGTGAGGATGCCTCACAACCTCTGCGGGTGCCTGCCATAGATGTGGACGAAACATCAGGAGTGCATGCGAACTTCATCGGTGTCGTTGATGGACGATGAAAAGCAGCAGCTCCCCTGGCGGCCAGAAAAAAGTTAAATAGCCTTGGTGCATTTGTCTGTTAAATGTTGTTTGTCAAACTGGCATTGAATGTTTGCCATATATGTGTTTACTGTAATCCGCCCTGAGTCCCCTGCGGGGTGAGAAGGGCGGAATATAAAAGCTGTAAATAAATAAATAAATAAATAAATATACAGCCTAGGAAACTCACAGTGATTGTGTCCATGAAAACCTTCGACAACACATTAGAGCAGGCATCCTCAAACTGCGTCCCTTCAGCTGTTTAGGCCTTCAACTCCCAGAATTCCTGACAATTGAACAAGCTTGTTAGGGCTTTTGGGAGTTGGAGGTCCAAAGAGCTGGAGGGATGCATTTTGAGGATGCCTGCATTAGAGAAAATGTATCCTTTACCCTCCCACCTTGATGCTGCATGAAGGAAATGGTAGCTCAATTATTTACTGCAGGTATTCCCCCTCCCACTGTGATCACTGGGCCATGAGTGGCTTTCTCGGGAAGGTTTTTTAAATTGACCACAGTCGAAGGAACTGTCTGCTTTGGGTCACTCTGACCTGTTCGTTTGATCTCACCACTTGATTTACCTTTCCTGAAAAACCGCAGAGGAATCTAACATGGGTGAAAAGGCCTGCACAGCAATCCTATGGGCATCAGAACTGCTTCTGGTCCAATGAAGAAAGGGGGGGCAGGGGTCAGTTCCACCTTGTTTCCTGTGCTATACTAATAATATAATATATTGTATGTACATATAATATTCATAATGTAATACAATATACTACTACTAATATATTATTATTATTATATGGAGCCACCGGTGGCACAGTGGGTTAAAGTTCTGAGCTTGTTGACTGAAAGTTTCGAATCCGGGGAGCAGCGTGAGCTTCCGCTGTCATCCCCAGCTTCTGCTAACCTAACAGTTCGAAAATGTTCAAATGTGAGTAGATCAATAGGTACTGCTCCGGCGGGAAGGTAACGGCGCTTCATGCGGTCACATGACCTTGGAGGTATCTACGGACAACGCCGGCACTTCGGCTTAGAAATGGAGATGAGCACCACACCCCAGAGTCGGACACGACTGGACTTGATGTCAGGAGACAACCTTTACCAACCTTATGTGCATATAATATTTATAATGTAATACAATATACTACTAATATATTATTATTATTATATGGAGCCCCTGGTGACGCAGTGGGTTAAAGCGCTGAGCTGCTGAGCTTGTTGACCGAAAGGTCGCAGGTTTGAATCCGGTGAGCGGCGTGACCTTCCGCTGTCAGCCCTAGCTTCTGCCAACCTAGCAGTTCGAAAACATGCAAATGTGAGATCAATAGCCACCGCTCCGGTGGGTAGGTAACAGCACTCCATGCAGTCATGCCGGCCACATGACCTTGGAAGTGTCTGCGGACAATGCCGGCTCTTCGCCTTAGAAATGGAGATGAGCACCAAATCCTCAGAGTTGGACACAACTGGACATAATTTCAGGGGAAAACCTTTACCTTTACCTTATTATTATATTTTATATTACATGTAATATTACTAATAATATTACAATATAATAGTATAGTACAATATAGTAATATATAATACTGATATTGTACTATGCTAATAATATAATATGTTGTATGTATATATATTGGAAACCCCGGTAGCACAGTGGGTTAAAGCGCTGAGCTGCTGAGCTTGTTGACTGAAAGGTCGCAGGTTCGAATCTGGGGAACGGCATGAGTTTCCGCTGTCAGCCCCAGCTTCTGCCAACCTAGCAGTTCGAAAACATGCAAATGTGAGTAGATCAATAGGTACCACTCTGGCGGGAAGGTAATGGCGCTCCATGCAGTCATGCTGGCCACATGACCTTGGAGGTGTCTACAAAAACGCCAGCTCTTCAGTTTAGAAATGGAGATAAGCACCACACCCCAGAGTCGGACACGACTGGACATAATGTCAGGGGGAAACCTTTACCTTATTATTATATATTTTATATTACATGTAATATTACTAATAATATTACAATATAGTGGTGTAGTTGTTAATTCGTTCAGTCGTTTCTGACTCTTTGTGACCTCATGAACCAGTCCATGCCAGAGCTCCCTGTCGGTTGTCACCACCCCCAGCTCCTTCAAGGTCAAGCCAGTCACTTTAAGGATGCCATCCATCCATCTTGCCCTTGGTCGGCCCCTCTTCCTTTTTCCTTCCATTTTCCCCAGCATCATTGTCTCCTCATGATGTGGCCAAAGTACGTCAACTTTGTCTCTAATATCCTTCCCTCCAATGAGCAGTCGTGCTTTAGTTCCTGACGTATGGACTGGTTGGATCTTCTCGCTGTCCAAGGCACTCTCAGAACTTTCCTCCAACACCACAGTTGGTATAGCACAATATAGTACTATGCTAATAATATAATATATTGTATGTATATATATCTTGTAAGCCCCTCTGAGTCCCCTTCAGGGTGAGAAGGGCGGCATATAAATGTTGTAAATAAATAAACAATTCTTTATTTTCAAGCGTGGGAAGAACTGATCAGTGAAGCAACCACCTTAGTCCAGTTTTTATTGAAAAGGAAACATACAAAATTCTTCTCTCCCCGGCTTCCCCCCTCCCCCTGGTACAGACAACTGATCCCCTCAAGTATGTACAGGTAGCACCAATTTTGTCCTATGTACAAGCACCAAGATACCCGTATATACATACATACAGCCCTTGCTGTGCAGTTCGGTCCCACCCCGCCCGCTGTACAAAGCCCAGAAAGTCCCCTATTTACAGGGGACGTCACAGGTCCCATGTGCAATTCTCTCTCCCCACCCTGTCCCCCCCTGTACAGGCTCAATGAACAGTATTCACATAGTGCTAACTTGCCCTTGCTCCCACCTCAGTGAGCAGCTCTCCTGATAAGGCACTGCTGGGTTGGGAGCTCTCGCCTCCACCCAGAGCAGGCAGTCCCATGGTCCCCCTGTGAAGGAAGGGCCCGGCGGAGGAGCAGCATCGTCATCGTCGGCCTTTTTGTCACCCAAGGAAGGCAGGCCGTACGTTTCTCAAGTCCCAAGGAAAGTCTGGCTTTTCCCTCCTGGCCAGCAGGAAGAGGAGACGGGAGGCACTCCTCTGGCACGCGGCAGCGGCGCCTCAAGCAGCAAGTCGGGAGGCTCCACTCTTCGAAGCCCGCGCTAGCCCCTCACGGGCAGGTTGTACAAGACGCCGAGCAAGTGGAACACAAAGTGGTAGAAGTGGCCCCAGGCGGCACCACGCGGCCTGTGCTCCTGCAGAGGGAAGGAGATTGAGAAAATTTGACATTGAGAATCGTCGTTGATACAAAGCAATTTCTGACTCAGTAGCCCTGGACCGGACCGCTCCACCCTTTCACGGCCATCTTTGTGCCGCTGCCACAGCCTGCTCTCGCTGCCTGTGTCCTGCCTTTATATCCCGGGGCTATTTATAGGCCATGAGTCAGCGGTGGTTGCCGGTGGGGCCCTGCCCAGTTCCCTGAACAAACAAGGCAGAGTGGGAGGTGGCCCCGTTTGTGTATTTGTGAGCGGCGGCGGATCTGAAATTCTTGGAGAGCTTTGAACTAGCTCTTTCCCGCCCACCTTACAATCCTGCACTATATTAGAAGGACGTAGCCTTTTGTCCGTAAATCCCAAACAGCCCCCAACCACACCTCTTTGGTTCTCTGTCCACGATTCTCCACTCACCCTTTGCTCGTATTCTAGCTGGAAGCGGTCTCCCATTTCTCGGAGGCGGGCCCCGATCTCCCGCTCCAGAGTGGGGAGATGCCTAGGGAGGTGCCCGTTGGGTTCGGCGGCCCTTTGCTCAGGCTCAGCGGCCACCCCTTCCTCCTCTTGCAGGCCTTGGTGGGTTGTCGTAACTGGCGGCAGCGTTCCTGCAACAACAAGACAAAAAGAAGGGAGGTCAGACCAAGGAAAAGGGGGAAACGTGTGTCAGAGAAACAGTCCCTTCCCCAAAGCGTATCCAAGGCTGGGGGGGTTGCAAAGCAGCACGGAGCAGCAAGGAGGGGGACTGGGGAGAAGGGAAGAGAGACGTTTCCTGTATCCTTGGTAACTGCAGCCTGTTGCGGCTGAGCAACGAGATCATTTCAGGACACACGGAGCAAATCTGTCTGTGTCTCCTGATCTGAGGCCCCTTTTCCTGCTGGGATCTCCACTTCCCTTTTAGGATGGGTTCTCACTCGGGTTGCCAGGTGCAAGGAACAAGACTCCGAAAGTCCTGCAAAAGTGACGGGAAACGGCTATTCTGTAAACTGTGTTGTCGAAGGCTTTCATGGCCAGAATCACTGGGTTGCTGTGAGTTTTCTGGGCTATATGGCCATGTTCCAGAAGCATTCTCTCCTGACGTTCCACCCACATCTATGGCAGGCACCCTCAGAGGTTGTGAAACATACTCACAACCTCTGAGGATGCCTGCCATAGATGTGGGTGAAATATCAGAAGAAAATGTTTCCTGAACATGGCCATACAGCCCAAATAACTCACAGCAATACCTCACAACTTCTGAATATGGCTGCCATAGATGTGGGCAAAACGTTAGGAGAAAATGCTCCTGGAACATGGCCATACAGCCTAAAAAACTCACAGCAACCCCTCACAACTTCTGAGGATGCCTGCCATAGATATGGGAGAAACATCAGGAGAAAATGCTTCTGGAACATGGCCACACAGCCTGAAAAGCTCACAGCAACCCCTCACAACTTCTAAGGGTGCCTGCCATAGATGTGGGTGAAACATCAGGAGAGAATGTTTCTGGAACATAGCCATACAGCTCGAAAAACTCACAGCAACCCTATTCTGTAAACCTTAGCCAAGGTGGCTTTGAAACTTCATTGTTGCTGTCCATTGTTGGTATACATGTGGCCCACTCACTGTCACTGTAATTGCGAAGGATTTTATTGTAATTTTGTATTGCTTACTGTATTTTTATGTATTTTATTTGATGTTGTTTTGTGTTTCGATTTTATTTTATTGGATGGAAGCCGCCCTGAGGCCCCATCGCGGAGATGGTGGCGGGGTATAAATAAATAAAATAATAATAATAATAATAATAATTATTATTATTATTATAGAAACCAAATATGAATCAACTTGTACTTTCGGAGGAGGTAGCCATGTGTTGATTTTTTGGAAACTATGTGAATTAAAATTAAAATCAATACAGATTGAAACTGATCTTCTTAATGGTCACTTCAGGGCGGCTGGCTCCACAGGATATGCATTTCTGATTGTCCCTTAATGCTCTGGAAACCTGATGGCCCGAGTTGTCACCCACCCACATGTGCCTCACACGCTGCATGCTTTCCATAAGGCATGGCATAACCTTGTTCAAAAGGTTTTGTTTTCCTAGCACAGGCTTTGATTTGATGGAAACGGAGGGTGTAGTGACCTCCTGCCCACCCCATGGGGTGGGCAGGAGGTCACTTCACCCCCTCTGTTTCTACCAGGATGGCATTTCCAACCAAAGCCTAAAGAGCTCCCTTGCTGCCTCTCAAACCCATCCATCCCTGGCAGACAAAGCCAGGGATCATCAGCACTCCGCAGTTACGCCTTCCCAAGGAGGATGCCATCAGACAAGCCTACCCGCCAAGGTGGGCGGTGGCACTAGCGTGGCACTACGTCCCCCAATCTTTTTCTTCCTCTCTCTCTCTCTCTGGGCAGCTTAACCCTTTCCTGGAAAGGGAGCAGCTTGATATAAACCACGTTGGCCACCGCACAAAAGGAGGTGTGCCTGACAACAGCTTCAAAACACGCTACGCCTACGTTTCGACACTATCACTTCCAGCTGGGAGGAAAAACGATGCTGCGTACACGTACAGAGACTCTTGACATCTCCGAAAGCATGGGAAAGCAGCTGATAAACCACCCAACCTTGAGGGATGGGTCGGAGTGAAGGGCATTCTATACACAAGCAGAGACTTTGACAACCCTAATTGGGAAGACATCGTCTGAGACTCTTTGGCACTCTAATTGAAGACAAAAAAGGTACATAGGCAGAGGCTGACATCCTAAATAGGAAAAGGGGCTCTCTGCACACAGTGGAGACTTTCTGACATCCCAAATACCATTCTGGAAAGGGAGGGAGCAGGAGAGGGAGCGTTTGCAAAAGCCATGAATAGCTAGTCCTTCGTCACCCAGCCAGGGCACTCTACACATGGGCTTTGACATCTGGATTGGGAAGAGGGGGCGTTCTGTACACGGGCAGAAACTTGGCATCCGGCATGGTATTTGAAAAAGGAAGCCACGTGCTGGGTCACTCAGTTTGGTATAAAAAGGCACTCCACACATGGTCAAAGATTTGTTAGCATTCTGACTGAGAAAAGGTACGCTCTGCACGTGGTCAGAGACTCTTGGAATTTCCAAAATACCTTCCAGCATGGGAAAGGGAGGAGGAGAGAGAGAGACGCTTGCAAAGGGGATGCAACACGCAGGAATCAAGGGCACTCTGTCTCAATTTCACATCCTAATTGTGACGAGGGGTGCTCTGCACATGGTCAGAGGCTCTTGGGGCATCCCAAAGACTACTGGGGCAGGGAAGAGGGAGCGGCTTGCAAAGGGGATGCCACGCACGAGAATCAAGTGCACTCTGCACATGGTCAGTGACTCTTTGACATCCTAATCGAGACAAGGGTGCTCTGGATATTGTCAGAGACTCTTGGAATTTCCAAAATACCATTCCGGCAGGACAGAGGGAGCAAGAGTGGGTGGGGCTTGCAAAGGGCATGCCATGTCCGAGAATCAAGTGCACTCTGCTCATGGTCAGAGACTCTTGGAACATCCCAAAGACCATTGGGGCTGGGGAGAGGGTGAGGCTTGCAAAGGAGAAGCCTCGCGCGGGAACCAAGGGCACTCTTCACTTGGGCAGAGGCTCTTTGACATGCTAATAGAGTCGAGGGTCGCTTTGCACATAATCAGAGGGTCTTGGAGCATCCCAAAGACTACTCGGCCAGGGGAGGGAGTGAGGCTTGCAAAGGAGAAGCCTCACGCGGGAACCAGGGGGCACTCTACACATGGGCAGAGGCTCTTGGGGCATCCAAAAGACTACTATTAGGGGAAGGGGAGATGGCGAGGCTTGTAAAGGGGAAACAGTGCGTGGGAACCAAGGGCACTTCACATTGGCAGATGCTCTTTGACATGCTAATCGAGTCGAGGGGTGCTCTGTACGTGGGCAGAGACTCTCGAGACATCCCAATGACTAGGAGAGAAGTAGCAGGAGAGGGTGTGGCTTGCAAAGGGCATGCCATGGAGAATCAAGTGCACTCTCCTCATGGTCAGAGACTCTCGAGACATCCCAAAGACTATTGGGGCAGGGGAGAGGGTGAGGTTTGCAAAGGAGAAGCCTTACGCGGGAACCGAGGGCACTCTTCACATGGGCAGAGGCTCTTTGCCATCCTAATTGAGTCGAGGGGCGCTCTGCACGTGGGCAGAGGCTCTTGGGGCGTCCTAAAGATTAGGGAAGAGGTTAGCAAAGGGGAAGCCTCGCGCAGGAACCAAGTGCACTCTGCACACGGGCAGAGGTTCTTTGCCATCCTAATTGAGTCAAGGGGCGCTCTGCACGTGGGCAGAGGCTCTTGGGAGAGGGAGAAGTTCGCAAAGGAGAAGCCTCGCGCGGGACCCAAGGGCACTCTGCACACGGGCAGAGGTCCGTGGCCCTTCCAAAGACCATTCATCCGGAGGCCGGCTTACCGCTGCTGCCGCTTCCGAGCGGGGTCCTCCGCGGGGCGGCGCTCAGGCGGGCGGCGGGGGCGCCGGGGGTGCGGAGGGCGGTCGGCAGGGCCAGCGTCCCCCCCAGAGGGCCGGCGGGGCTCCCGGAGACGGCGGCTGTCGGCTCGGCGCGGAGGCTCCCGTCCTGCAGCGGTCTGGCCATGGCGCTCGCGGGGATCTGCCGGAGGGAAGAGGCGGTCAGGAGGGCGACGCCGGGGCCAAAGCCAGCAGCTCGCCAACTGGGCATCCTTCACGCAGCAACACAACAGGGTGGGTTGGCTGCCTGGCTGGCTGTTTGTAAACAAACCCGAAAAGGGAGGAGGAGGAGGAGAGGAGGAGGAGGAAAGACAGAACCCGAAACTAAAACTCCCCAAAAGTCAATCAGCAGTCTCTACGGACTTACTGCAGCTGCATGAACCCTCCGGGGGGCGGCTCAAGGAGTGGGTCGCTCGCTGCGGCTCGAGCAAAACAAGCAGAATGCTTTTGCAAAAAATGAGGAGAGGAGAGGAGCCGGAGCTGCTGCAGCCGCGGCGCGCGCCAAGCGGACGAGTGGCGCGAGCTGGGACAGGCGCTGCCGAGCCCGGGCAAGCCCCGCCCACCTTGACGTCACCGCCCCCCGCCCCCCCCATACACACACACCACTCTCCTTCCTTTCCCCCGTCCCTCCCTCCCTCCTTCCCTTTCTCTTGGAGGCAAGTTCGGGCTTGTGCTGCCGGGCTGGGGAAAGCCCCCGCCCCGAACGGAGAAAAGAGGGGCAGAGAGGAGCCCCACCTCGGTGGCCTCGGTCCCGTCCCTTTACGATGGCCCAAAGCGTCGAGGGGGAAAGCAGCCCAGCCTCGCCTGCCTCTCTCTCTCTCTTTCTCTTTGGGAGGAAAACAGGGCCCGCCCACGCCTCTTTTCTTCCAGCTCGGCGGGGCTGGCAAACACAAACACAAACCGCGTGTTGTTGTTGTAGTGGGAAAAGGAAAGGAAAGGAAAGGAAAGGGAGGGAGGCAGGGAGGCAGCCCTTGCAACGAAGCAGTCGCCATTTGGGAGGGGAGAAAAAGGGATGGGGAGCACAATGGGAAGCTCTAGCTTTTAAAAAACAGACACAGGTGGGGTGCAGGTTGAGTGTCCCTTGTCCAAAATGTTTGGGAAATGCAGTCCCAATGAGCCAAAGCCATTGCAAAAGGGAATCCAACCAAAAAGGGATGTAAAGAGAGGGAGATGAGATAAGGGTTGATTCATTGCTCCTTATCCCAAAGGTTAATAATAATAATAATCCCAAAAGTTGAGTGTCCCTTGTCCAAAATGTTTGGGAAATGCAGTCCTAAGGATCCAAAGTCACCAGAAAAGGGAATCCAACCAAAAAGGGTTGCAAAAATGGAGATGGGATAATAATAATAATAATAATCTTTATTTATACCCTGCCCCCATCTCCCCAATGGGGACTTGGGGCGGCTTACATGAAGCCTAGCCCAACAACACATTACAATAAAATAAAATAAAACCAAGGCATAAAACAACAATACAATAAAAAACATAAAACACGAGAATATAGTAAACAATGTGAAATACAAGAAAGGTCATTCACAATCCCAGTGACAGTAAGCAGACCACATGTACAAGATAAAATACTAAAAACTCAGGGTAAGATAGGAATGGAGCAGATTATTTGTGATAAGGATAAAGATAATGGTTGATTCATTGCTCCTTATCCCAAAGATTAATAATAATAATCCCAAAAGTTGAGTATTCCTTGTCCAAAATGTTTGGGAAATGCAACCCTAATGATCCAAAGTCATTGGAAAAGAGAATCCAACCAAAAAGGGATGCAAAGAGAGGCAGATGGGATAAGGGTTGATTCGTTGCTCCTTATCTCAAAGGTCAAAAATAATAATCCCAAACGTTGAGTATTCCTTGTGCAAAATGTTTGGGAAATTCAGTCCTAAAGGTAAAGGTTTCCCTTGACATCAAGTCCAGTCGTGTCCGACTCGGGGTTGGTGCTCATCTCCATTTCTAAGCATGACTGCATGGAGGGCTGTTACCTTCCCGCAGAAGCGGTATCTATTGATCGACTCACATTTGCATGTTTTCGAACTGCTAGGTTGGCAGAAGCTGGGGCGAACAATGGGAGCTCACCTCGTTCCCTGGATTCAAACCGCCGATCTTTTGGTCAGCAAGTTCAGCAGTTCAGTGGTTTGATTCACTGCACCACCAGGGGGCTCCAAGGTGAGGATTAGATTCGAGTAAATAGGGTAATTTGCACATTAGTGGTACCTGTTTATCTACTCACGTTTCTGTTTTCGATCTGATAGATGAGCAGTATCTGGGGCTGACGGTGGGTACGCACCTGACCCAGTCTTGCACTGCCAAGGTTTTGATCGGTGGGATTTTCTACAGCTTAGCAGTTTAACCCACTGTGTTAAGTCCAGTCCCTTACAGGATAGGGGACCTGTAAGAACCTGTCCCAAATATCCAAGGATGCAGCCAGAAATCCGTAGGTGAGGGGATGCTACAAGAGAAACACAATTTTCCCGCGTCTTTTCCTAACCAGGAAGTTCATGTCTGAGTCATCTCTGCTTGTGGGGTGGCAATGAAAAGGAAAGCACGTTGCTGTTGTGAAAGGAATACCAACATTTGTTCCTCATTTCCTGCAGTGACTGTACAATCATATTGTCCATTTATTCACCTTTGTACACTTTGAGGAAAAGGAAGAATTGTTTATGTGTCTTGATGTCTATCTGGGGGAGAAAACTCCAAAAACTGCAAGAATTTTTAGAAGAGTGATGCTTTCTTGGGTGAAATTCTTTATTATTGAGTACTTTCAAGTCATTTCTGACTTACGGTGACCTAAAGGCAAGCCCGTCATGAGGTTTTCCCAGAAGAATTTGTCCAGAAGGGATTTGCCCTTGCCATCCTCTGAAGCTGAGAGTATATGACTTGCCAAGGTCACTTAGTGGGTTTCCATGGCTGAGGATACCAACCCTAGTTTCTGAGTCATATGTCAACACTCAAACCACTATTTATTTATTATTATTTATTATTTATTTAAAACATTTATATTCCGCCCTTCTCACCCCGAAGGGGACTCAGAGCATATACACAGCAAACATTCAATGCCTGGAAACAATACATAAACATTAAAAAACATTTATCAAAATATTAAAATACACCACTTAAAATAACACCATTTAAACCCGTCCTAGCCATCCACTTCAAATCCAATTGGCTCCTGTCATCTTTCCCATTGCCGCTTCATTGCCCTGACCCGAAAGCTTGGTCTCACAGCCAAGTTTTTACCTTCTAAAGGACAGAAGCGAGGGGGCCGACCTGATCTCACCAGGAAGGGAGTTCCATAGCCGGGGAGCAATCATCGAGAAGGCCCTGTCTCTCGTCCCCACCAATCGTGCCTGTGACAATGGCGGGACGGAAAGCAGGGCCTCCCCAGAGGATCTTCATCTCTGTGATGGTTCATAGGGGGAGATGCATTCGGACAGGTAATTTGGGCCGGGGTCAGCACTTTGAATTGTTCCCGGTAGCAAACCAGTGGAGCCAGTGGAGCTGGCGTAACATGTGAGTTTTATGCTCCCTGTATGCCGCTCCAGTTATTAACCTGGCTGCCTCTCGTTGGACTATTTGAAGCTTCCAAGCAGTCTTCAAAGGCAACCCCACGTAGAGTGCGTTGCAGTAGTCTATTCTAGATGTAACGAGAGCGTGGACCGCCGTGGCCAAGTCTGACTTCCCAAGGTACGGGTGCAGCTGGCGCACAAGTTTTAATTGTGTGAACGCTCCCCTGGCCACCGCTGCAACCTGGGATTCCAAGCTCGGTGATGAATCCAGGAGAACTCCCAAGCTGTGAACCTGTGCCTTCAAGGGGAGTGTGACCCCGTCCAGCACAGGTTGCGACCCTATACCCTGTTCGGCCTTGCGACTGACCAGGAGGACCTCTGTCTTGTCTGGATTCAACTTCAATTTGCTCGCCCTCATCCAGACCGTCACAGCGGCCAGGCACCAGTTCAGGACTTGGACAACCTCCTTAGCATCTGGTGGAAATGAATGATAGAGTTGGACGTCATCTGCGTACATGATCTCATGCAGCGGCTTCATGTAGATGTTAAACAACATGGGGGACAATACTGAGCCCTGCGGGACCCCATAGGACAATGGCTGTGAAGCCAAGCAGGAGTCCCCCAGCAACACCTTCTGGGTACAACCGTCCAGGAAGGACTGGGACCACTGCTGAACAGTCCCTCCAAGACCCATCCCCGCAAGGTGCCCCAGAAGGATACCATGGTCTACGGTATCGAAGGCCACTGAGAGGTCCAGGAGAACCAACAGGGACACACTCCCCCTGTCGAGCTCCCTGCGGAGATCATCCATTAAGGCGACCATGGCTGTCTCAGTTCCATGTCCCAGTCTGAAACCCAACTGCGACGGATCCAGATAATCAGTTTCGTCCAAGAATCCCTGGAGCTGTGAGGCAACCACACGTTCCAAGACTTTGCCCCAAAAGGGGAGATTGGAAACTGGCCGAAAGTTGTTCAAATCAGTGGGATCCAGTGATAGTTCTTTAAACAGCGGTTTTATCACAGCTTGTTTTAAGCTGGCTGGAATCTTGCCTTTCCGAAGGGAGGCATTCACCACCACCTTGACCCACTCTGCAAACTCCCCTCTGGCTTCCTTTATCAGCCAGGATGGGCAGGGGTCCAGGATGCATGTGATCACCCTTGCCTCTCCAAGACCGAAACTTCACAACGGAAAATATTTTGAAAGTATTGTTTATGTCACTATCCACTGGCCTGTGGTGGCCACTGAATGATGCCACATCAAGTGCTGACTCAGTCACATGTGCCACCAGGCCTTGATATTCCCTGGTTTCTCATGGAAATTCCAAACAAAGAAATTGCTTGTTCCAGATGACATCCACCCAAGGATTCTTAAACAATTCAAAAGTGAAACTTCTCTACTTACTATGTCATGTAATCATTTTCCCTACCAAAGGATTGGAAAGTGGCCAATGTATCACCAATTTGTACAAAAGGGTTCCAGAGAAGATCTAGGAAAGTGTTGGGCTGTTAACCTCTATTCCAGGCAGGCTGAAGTGTAACTAGGAATAAAATAGTCATCCATATGAAGGACAAGCCCTGCTGATATTGTCAGTATGGTTTTTGCAAAGTTAGCCCTGACTTAGATGTAAGGAAAAATGCCAGTAAATATGTGGACATAAGTGATCTGCTAGCTAGTACCTACTTTGGCCTTTCCCGTAAAGTCTGATACCAAAAACATCCCAGAAAACTTAGCAGCCATGGGATAAAAGAAGTTCTCTCATAGTTTGAAAACTTGGCTTAAGACTACAACCAGTAAGAATAAGCTATCAGTTGTCACACTGGAAGGATGTGACCAGTGCTTTTTAACATATTTGTATACAATGTATTGTTGAAAGCTTTCATGGTTGGAAGTTTCACCTGCATCTATGGCAAGCATCCTCAGAGGTTGTGAGATCCTCACAACCTCTGAGGATGTTTGCCATAGATGCAGGCGAAACGTCAGGAGAGACTGCTTCTAGAACATGGCCATATAGCCCGAAA